TGTGTGGCAGTGACCCTGACCATCACTAACCTCCTTCCATGTAACCATTACCTCCATTGGCTGTGTCACAGGAAATTTACAGTCATCTTTTTACACCGGCACCACCAGCACACACCAGCTCTGAGAATCAACCCGTTCATTCCTGCTCAACCATAGGATTTTTGTAAGAACTGCTCCCAACGCTGAGCAAAGCTGTCTACATAATGTGGTGTCCTGGTTTCAGTTAGGACACCACAAACACAACACGTGGGCACCCAGATTCATCTCAGCTGACCTCAGGTGCTCAGTTTGGAACTGAGCTGCTCTAAGATCTCTCCTGTGCCACATACAGTACACAGGCAAGGTATGCAGAGCTAGCCCCCAAGAGTGCCTGTCTCCAGTGATCATATCCGAAACGTAGGCTGGTGGCTGCCCTACCTCCTTGAGCTAAGCAAAGACAATGCAGACCTTTGAAATTTGAAGTGAGCACAATGAAGAGTCGTATCTTCCAGCTGTAGAAAACTTGTTAGCAGGAGCACTGCCCTGCGTACTCTAGGTGCTTTCTGGACTCTTCATATCTACATGCATTTATTCTGTAAGATATGCACTGGTAGCTCTCCCTTTTGAGTTCTTCTATTACTTGACGGAATAATGCATGTTTGTATAGCCACAGGCATTTAAATTTGAAAACGTAAATGTCTGAGCTTTTTGGTGTCACAAGCTTTGTCTTTGCTCAATAAAAGCAGAGAAAAACTATAAAATGTAGCTGAGGCCCACAAAGCCATATTATTTGTCATTACACACACATACAAAACAAACAAACAAACAAACAAACTACAATAATTAAGATTTCTTGCAGCTTCTAACAGAGAAAATAGCAAACTTGTCCTTGTTTCACAGCTATTGTGAAAATAAAACAGATACTGACTAAGAATTACGCACTCTAGAAGTATGAGGTCTGACTTTCAATATCTTGTATTCTCATCCTATGATGTTCAAGCTTTTTTGTTTTGTTTTTACCCTTTGAATAAAATAGCAGTGCCATAAATGAAAGTTTACAAAAGAAAGCAATGGAACAATCTTCTGCAATTAGCTTGGCATAACGCTTCTACCATTAAAGCAGAAACAAAATTAATTGCACACAGTGCTGTGCCAGAGCCAGACTGCTGATTAACTGTCACCTCCTCAGAAGGCTGCCCCCAGGTGCTTACCATCTGAGCTGGAAAAATTGCTGCTGGCACACAGCCCACAGGGACAGGGGAAAGGCCAGCCAGTGAAAGCCTCTTGGTTTATGACAGACCCTTGCTAGCATCTACTAAAACATGACTCACTTCGGGGACACACAGTTGAGGGAAATCACAGAAAAATTAAGTAAGCAGTGCCAGCAAAAACATGGGTGTACTTACACTAGCTTTGTAATGGTACAAAGGGTGTCAGCGGGGTATATGTTTTCCAATATAATCATCCCTCAAACCTCCCTGGACAAAACCAGCACTCTCCTCTTCTCATGCTATGATACTCACAATCATAGCATTGGTCTAACTTGCTCTCTCGACTTGGCAATAACCTCATTGAGGATCACCTCCTTTTTCCATCCACAATGAACAACACCCTCTTCTCACATCATCACACTGAGGGCACCACCATCTTAACCCGTATCAAATAAAAATACAGCCTCACCGTTCTCCTCATGTACACATTCATGTCATCCTATACCAGCTCCTGTCCCTCTCAGAGCTGCCCAATGACCCCCTTGTGTGGCACTAAGAGAGAGTTTGAAGCATTTCACCAGAGCACCTGGACCCAAAACAATTGTTGGGTCTTCCCCTAGCAGTGAGAAGTTTTGAAACAAAATAGCAAGGGAAATTCTGTTTTTTGACCAGAGTCACAGAGCATGCAGGTGAGGTGCCATCTGCACCATGGAGATGTACAGAGAGAAGGAACAGAGGCCAGTCCCCACACAAAAGTTTAGTTAGATAGCAATTTAACTATTAACTAAAAATGTGAGTTGTCCCCCATACCCCCTGTCCCTCAACATACACACGTCCATCAGCAACAGCAATATTTAGTTAAAAACCATTCACAACGGCTCCACCTTGCACCTTACACACTCCCCCTTCACTTACCCTGTCAGCCATGTTTGTCCTCTAACAAATCTCTCCCTTCCTCAGAGAAGCCATCCTGGAGCACTGCCATACACCTCCAGCTCCCCGTGCTGGCAAACACCTTCCCTCTCGCCTTGTCTGAGTTCCAGCACCAGGGGAGGAGGACTGGGCCCCATGATGCCATTTTGAGCTGGCCTGACAGACTCCAGGGTGCAGCCGCAGGGACCCTGCTCCTGGCACTGCCCCAGCGGCCACCCGTCCTGCCCCTTAACAAGAGAGACACACAGACAAGGAGGAGCTTGTTCTCATTCATGAAAGAGATTCTTATTTTGGCCCCCTAACCATGTTTTTTTTAGCAGTCAAGGAGTTACCTAGAAGGTAGGACTAGTGCCTTATCTGTTCTCTTTGCAATGTGAACTAAGGCCATCTGGCCAACCTAAGCATTAGCACTTCAGTTGGTCATTTGAGTTGGTGATTCCTAATGGGAGTTATTTGTACTTTATTGTCCTTTCCCCTGAAGCATAAGTAACAGAGAGCTGCTTGGCTTACACAGAAACCTGGATTTGTCTCAAAATGGAAACATCTGTTAATAAAGAGCTTATCGAAAAGCTATATGTACCCCAAAGTTAGTATTACCTGCCAGTGAAAATCCTGCTCGGTTTGCCGATGCGAAGCAATTCGTTGATGTGAATTTCTGGTGATCTCTAATGTGACCTGCAAACCAGGGCTCTCACCTTGCAGTGGTGCAGCTCACAGCTGCATCCTCCACGCAACAGCTGTGAGGGCTGGCAGCTTGCTTCAGGCTGCAGCACAGCACCCATCTTCGGTGCCATGTTTCCACATCCCTTCCAACTGCTTCCTTCAGGTTGTTTTATAGTTTCCTGTCAGTGATTTAAACTTTCTGTGACACAGGATGGCACTCAAAAATTTTGTGAAATCCTAAATATGTCCAATGTAAATGCTCTGTATGATCCTTTTAATCTTTCTGTTTATGTTATTTTCCATGCTTAACAGATAATGTTACTAATCATTTTTAGGATCATAGACTACTAAAAATACTGTGTAGAACAAAAGCTTTTCCTACATCATAATTCTTACGACTCCTTGGGATATGCCTATTTGCACTAAAGGACAGAGCATGAACCTTCTGATCCTTTCTTTCCATTTACTGAGAAGATATGGAAGTTAAACGCTTGAAGAACTGGGAACATAACAGCCCCTTACAAGAATTGCTCTTTGATGCAATTCCTTGGGGATTGGGACACCATAAGAAATTGCATGACTGATAAAATGCAGAGCAAGTTTGCTGAGACACTTACAGTGTCTTGGAATACCATCAGCTTTCTCTGCTTAACACTGGGTGTTATGATCTTTAAAATACCAATTTAATTTTTTGCAAGTACAGTATGTTCTTTACTAGAACTGACATATGTAGTTTACAAGCAGCAATAAGTAACAGCTGAGCAAAAAGGAGACTCCATCCAAACATTTTTTAACCAATTTTTCAGATACCCATGCCAAAATAATTGGATGGAAAAAGATTTGTCATTTTAAAAGAGTGCAAGAGTAACAGTTCCATTCTGCTTTTCTTTTTCAGCTATCTGTAAACCATTGCTTTATGCTGTTTCTAAACAAAGTATAATTGCAGTGCTGTGCAGTACTAAACACCAGACAAGTGAGACTTGCTGCACAGCAGGCCTGAAGTCACCTCAGTATGCAACATCTTCCATACATGTTGCAGTGAGTCCCTTAAGGCTTCTAGCAAATGGAAATCTATAAAAATGTACTTTAAGCCGCTGCCTTCTTTGGGTAGGTGAACTGAAATTTGATCTTTCTTACACAAAGAATTCAAACTGTAAATGCATGTAGGTTCACAAGGCTTGCTCTTGGGCTGAAGAACTGGGAATACAATATGAAATCTAAGCTGCAAACAGACTTCCAAGCCTCATAAATATCTGCTTTACAATTACAAAGTGACAACTATGAAAATCTATCAAAATATTGGCTCCTTTTTCTTTTATATTGTCTTGGAAGGAATGTTGTGATAAATTTAATTCTGTTTAAAATAGAACAGATCTGGACTGTGTTTTTCATGAAACTGATTAAACTGGCATTTTTTTTTTTATTTTTTTTTTTGACTTTCCCTAATGTTTCTTTCACTCACAAAGGCCTGGCAGAAACAAATGCTTACAGCATCAACATTTTGTAATATTGTAAGACCCAATGTAAAAAAAACTCATGCAAATATCCTATCACTAATTCCTGACTGTTAAATACATTTTAAAATTAACTCCTCACATAAAAGACAGTCGTCATGCTTTTGTATCATGTTTCATTCAAAATATATATCTTAAAGATGATGTACAGCTCCAGTATCTTTTGCTGAGTCAGCTTTAAATAACTTAAAGGTAAAAGTCTTAATGCAGAAACTGAAATATGGTTGCTAAGAAGCAAAAAAATAAAAAGCAATAAATTGAACCTCTGTGAGTTATGTCATAAGCAACATGTGAGCTTACAATTGCTTCTAATTAATAGTATTTTCTGTACTGAAGGATTCCTTATATTTTAAATGATTATGAGACATTTCAGATTCCTTTCTTAGGGAACTTTATTTTTTGAGTTAATAACCACAACCTTTGATTAACCCAAGGAAATACAGCTCAAGCTGGCTCCCCCAGACTGCCCATAAAGAGTATTTTTGCACGTGAAACACAGGAAACAAAGCAGTAACTAGGATAGTAAACATACAAATCCTTGCCCTGCTGGCATATGGCCAAGCTATCTGCTAGAGAGAGCAAGACCCTTCCATAATGAAAATACATCTCAGTCTTGCTCATGCATTCCAGTGGGTTTGCAGTCAAGAGTACAACAGACCAAGGGAGCTCTGCTGCTTAAGATGGAGGACTATCAGCTTACCTCAAGTCTTAACTGTGTTCCAGCCAGGCTTCGTGCAGGATGGGACTTAAGTTGCTGTGTCGACATACAACTGAACACCTGCAGTATCTGAACTTTGGACTTTAAATTAGAGCGAAGAATGTCAGCATTCAACTAAGTATGTCTGCTGGCTTTTGCAAGCAGCCATGATCCTGAGAAGCTAGCCAGTCACTGGATAAAAGAATATACAAAAGAAAAAATGAAAGATATGAAAAAAAATCAAATCCTGCCTTAACACACACAATTCTCACTGAAGCTTATGGAAGAGGAGAACACGGTAAGCATATTTCAATCTACTGCTTTTAGCAGTTTGTTGGTATCTTTACTATTTCAAATAAATGAACCACTGCATCAATTATTAATATATTGATATATACTTTATTATGCACAAGAGACTAAGATGACATGACTCTGTGGGTATCAAAACTGTACAACCAAGCACATTCTACAAGTCTCTGAAATACTGAACATAACATGTAGTATAAATGGGGTGTTAAGACTGGCCACAGGTATTAGCAAGCAAATTTCTCCCGTTCTTCAATTAAAAAAAAATATATCTAGAATTTGGATCTTAGAGAATCTTACTTATTTATTTAAAGGTGAGAATATTGTGTCTGGAACTGGTAGAAACATGGCAGCAAAGACTGTTAACTCTATGAACACCCCCATGAATGATGAACACGGCAGAACAGTCACCTCACAGGAAGGGCTGTCAGCACAACCAACAGTACAGTCTTCTTGTGAAGCATGAGGTAGATATACGTAACAGAAAGAACTGTACATACAAAAGAGAAAGGGTTAGAAAAGGGCAGGGGGAAGTTTACAATCATCAACATCTACAGACATTTTTGCAAACTCCATTTCCATATGGAAAATGCTACAAAAACAGTCTAACACAGAAAGCTGACTTTTTGTAACATCAATACAGCAATGTCCAACACCAAAGGCTGTAAAAGGTTAGTGATAAGGCAATGCATGACAACAAGCAGTCTGCTTCAAAGTTTAAGTATGTTACTAATAGCTTTTTGGAGACAGAAGATGTCCCTTTTAACCCCAGTCCTCCCGTTCTTACATAAGTTTCTTTGGAGTCAATTAGGTTATGCTGAAATTCTCCACTGTGATGAGAGTGGGCACTTGGCTGGCCCCTCAGAAGCCCTGTTTAAAAGGCCTACACTGGGACACAAGCAGTACTGAGGTGTCCTGTTGGCCTCCACACCAGGCAAACACTGGCCACATGAAATTCCGTGTGGCAAGACCAGGTTTAACAGATTTGGGAACCAATGGCTTTGCAGTTACACATTCAGATAGCTTTCCACGCTAAATATAGAAACTTGCAGTAGATATGAATGGCTGTTATACATGTGAAAGTAGAGCTTAAAGGTATATCAGTACTCTGAATCACAGCAACTTCACAGCTGCTAGAAAGTACTATGTTTTCGTAATAAAGCTATTAACTGGGAATGCCCTTTTTAGTTCTCTCTCTCACACATCAGAAATACTCTTCCAACTGCTAAATAATCACGTGTATTTTTGGTAACCTCCAAATAATTCAGATTGATTACAATTTCTGAATTAGGTAGCTGAGTACACCAAGTTCAGTTAATTAAACTATTTGAAATAGAAGCCAATACATTGAATCTTTGATCTTTATATATTTTTGGTTTATCCAACAGTAAATATAAATCTCTAAATTATTTTAAAATTAGAGTAAAATTTTGATAAAACCATTGATAATACAGCTTGTTTTTCTCAAAAATATACAGTTATCTATTTTACATGAAAGTTTTCAACCTGTTCATCCCAACAACCAAATCTAATAACTTCCTATGAGAAACTACTTAATAAAACATCTGAGGAAGGAAAGGGTTAAAACAGGGAAAAGAATTTACAGAGTATGTAAATTTCACAGTAATTGAAATTAAACATTTCATATAGAGTAACTTACATTTATCTAAAACATTTAAATATATCTTTATACACAAATTTAATGTAGTAAAATATAGCTATGATTGAACTTAAAGACTCTAGTCTTCTTTGAAGACATCTTTAAAGACTTTACACATAGAATATGCTTATACAATACATTCTGCTGAAGGTTAGGCAAAGCGCTTTCTTTTCAGCCACACAGGTAGCACATTCATCCTCCTGACGCCTCATAACAGAGCCAATCCTGCATACTCTTATGCATGGGGATAACTACACTTACATGACAATTCCTGTCGATGTTAATCAGGACTACTCATTGGCCTGGTAACATAAAACGCTTTTCACATGTGTACTATGCACACTGTATATCTCCACTTATTCTGAGAATACCTATAACTGTAGAACTGAGCATGTACTTGTACTAGTAAGATGATGCACGTAGTTACTCGTGCATAAATGTTTGCAGGATTAGTAACAAATTTGATTCAAGCTGAGTAATATTCTTCTACCTGATTCTGGGCACTTACATCTATTGCATATCTTGCACTTTGACCACCCTAGCATCAGCAAGGCACAACTGTAGAAACAGCAAATCTGCACCTCAGACTTCAGAGCAGGCTATCACTCTAGTGTAATGAATTCCCTTCTCTTGCAGAACGCAGGTAACCTCTACTAAAATTAATGAAAGTTACTCTCTCTTTTTTTTTTCTTTCGAGGAAAACAACACTAATATTTCCTTAAAGGAGAAGGATCAGTAGGACACATTACAATTACAAAGAGGCAACATAACAGTCAAAGAATCACACATTCAAAAATACACATTTTTTCTTTTCATTTGGCATCTAGTCAAAGGTCAGGATATGGCAATGACACACAAAAAAATACTGTGAAAACTAGTATCTTTTTGCCCTTTCCATATTCCAACACTACTTGGAACTATCCAATTGCAATGTTCATACAACAGTTTGGCATAAACAACTGCACAGTTATCTCAAGAGAATAGCTTTGTTTTATAGGTGGTATTATACAAAAATGATAGGCTTTACTGTACATTGTTTGTACCCTCAAAACCATCTCTTATTTCAAAGGGAGTTTGGGGGAACTAAAATAGTAGAACTGTGTCACCTTTGTATTCTCTTCTATCTACCAATTATAAACCAAAGAGACAGTTGTTTTATATATCTGCATTATATATTTTATGTATGGAAGGAATACTGAGCTCATTTCCCAGTTGCTGAAGGAAAACGTTTGGCTCCATATACTTAGGTATACATCTATTTGCATAAGAACGTTGCCATTAAATGTACACACATATTTATGCCAGTGCACAAGAACATTATTATTTATCTTTATGTTTGTGTGTGCCTGTATTTGTTATAGTAAATTAAAAAAAAAATCCCTTATGAAAGAGCTTTGGCCTGGAAAACTGGAAAGGGAATGTTAGAGTGTGCTCTTCTCCACTTACCAACTCAATGTGCATTAAAACAGAAATACCTGGAACAAACCTGAAGCTGCAAACACAACATAAAAGCACATGAGATAACGTAGCTGTAAGCTTAACAAAAACAAAGGTTACTCAAAAGTGGCTAACATAGCTGAAGTAATAAAATGTTATTAACCACAGAGATCTGACCTTGAGATTTTCTTGCTTAGACAAATAGAAATCCTTTGACCTAATATCATCTTTGTTCTGCTTATCTTGTTAAACTCCCTTAATGAATACCTTGTGTCAATAAGAAGGCTTAGGGAAAGAAAAAGTCGTGTAGACAAAGCAGCATTTTTCCAAACTGGCATAGATTTCACATCAAGGGCCCACAGACCCCTAAAACAGGTTGCAGTACTGTAAAATTAGTAGCTTTGTCACATGTAGAGCATAACACACTACAGAAGATCCAAAAGGCTGTGCTTACCCAAGCACTGTGTGTACATACACACATTCACACACACAGTGGCTTCCCCAGAAAAAGTCTGTCTGTAGAATAATCTCTCCTCACTTTTTCAAAAGGAACTGGACTAGTTCTTTTAGCTTTAAAAAGCTGATGTCAACACACAATCCTTTGAACCTCTGCTCTCCTATGTTGCTCCTCAACTTTTCTCTCCCTGGAGTTATGTCGCACTGCTGCTGGAACAGGGGGTACTCTGTGTGCTGCCAATGCTGTGTGCTGCACTGCTGTTTTCAGAGGCTGGTGGGGACGTAGGGACCTGCTGTCTTCCAGCTGTTTCACCTGAGGAAAAGGGGAGAGTAAAAAGGGGTTGAGGGAAAAGAGAAGTAGAAAATGTTAGTTGTCATAGAAAATAAACTATTAATTCCCAGTCTTCCTCTTCTGGTGGGTTTTATTTCCATATAGTTAATGTCTTGGGTGATAGACCTCAAAGAGTACTGTTGAGAATGCTACTATTCTTTGTCACCTTAGCATTGCTGTGCACATTGGAAAAGTAACATTGCTGTTTTCTTAATCACTGTAAAAGCACCAAACAGAAACTGCCAAGATGGACACCATCCATCTTCTGTTGTCAGCTGTCACTCAAGCACGTCTTGCTACATGATTCAGACCACTTCATAGCTTTTACTGTTTTAATGGAAAAAGGCCATAGAAATGCAGACGTTTGTTTCAATGCCAGTTTATCAAGCAACATATTTATCGTAAGTGTGAAGCTGGATCTAAAGACAATGTTCTTCAGTCAACTGGATACCACATATCGTAAGACATGATCAGTTTTTTAGTGTAAGAAAGACAGCAGGCTACCCTGCAAGCCTGACTTGATGTACTCTGAAGATAACAAGTAGGAAGCTTCCTTACAGCTGCCACAGAACGTGTAACACTTGTAACCTGTAATGAGAACAAGTGTCACCTTTTATTATAAGTTATTTATTGACACTAAATTAAACGCCCTTTGTTGTTTGGATTGTCAAATCAAGCAATTCAGGAGTTAAAGACAGATTTAAGACTCCTGATAAAACCTAGATTTTGTCATCTTTCTCCACGTCCCTTCTGCACACATGGCAGGAATCTTATGGAAAAAATCCAGCTCTTACTAGGATGGAAGTAAAAATAGTGCCACAATGTGAATGTCCAAAAGATCGCACTGAGGCCACATAGAAAATCATAACTGGGATTTTTTTTCCTTCTAATTAAAGTTTCGGTGCTCAAATCTGCTACCTTGGTATTACTACAAAATAGCCTCTTCAGGACAAATAGAAAAATGAACTTTATATGATGTGCACTGCAGCTGCCCCCTGCCTTGAGATCACCAGGATGTGAACCTGCGATTTCAGCATAGTGACACAGAAACCACTGCTGTTTGAGGCCACAGAACTAACCACGGCAGCCAGCAGCATCACAGCTGCTCTCCCAGCAAAGCTGAAGGAAATCTTTTCCCTGACCATGGGCAAGAATGACAAGGAAGAATCAGAAGCTGGTAGATCTCCTGCTTCATGAGTTTAGGAGGCCATGGATTCTCCTGCTTCATGTGTTGCCTGAGTTGGTCTGACCCCAAAGGGCCACATCTACCAGTAGCTCAAGAAAGGTAGAGTCCATTTTTTCTTCCCTGCTCAGAGCGATTGCTGCAGTGACAGACTGATGGCTGGAAGCACAGCCTGCCTCCAGAGAGCTGCTGAGCAGGGACAAGCCTGTTTCCTCCTTCAGGAGCTCTCTGGCACATCCCCATGCACCGGTGCTGCAGCCCAGCTGCCAGCACCCTGTGCTCCTCAGCAACAGACCCACAGAGGAAGTGTGTGTTTAATGCTTTGTATCTCAGGTTAAAGCCAACAGACCCACCAGATGAAGAAAACTTACTTCTGCCAGCTGTGGAGTCTGCAAAGGTCTGCTCTAAACAAGGGAGGATTGAGGGTTTCTCACACAGAGGCTGCAAGTGTTCTTTGTAGTGGGAACTGCCAGGGTCACTGTGAGCTTGCACTGTAACCACAGCTGTAAGCAGATGCACAGCCCCACAGCATTCAGCATCTGCCTTGCGCCACAGTGGTCTTGGGATAGGGAGGGAAGAAGGAATGGGAAAAGACAGGGGGAAGAAAAAAAAAGGCAACCAAACCACGAGAAACAGATTGCGCAGGAGGCCAATGAAATGTTGAAAAAGAGGGCCAGAATCTCATTCTTGCAGTCAGCACTAAGTCCAGCCTATACGATTGTGCCCAGATTTTTCTAAGTCTGTTTTTTACAGTGTAAGAAATAACCATGTAGCCATCAATAAGCTGCAGATTTTTGCTTACAAGAAACAGGTCAGAACCTAACCCCAGTCATACACACATAAACTGTGTCTCAGCTCTAACTTGCATTCAAATCAACGCTTTGTGTTACCATAGTGTAAAGGCTTTCATAAACCTTGTTTGGACATTCTCCCCTCCTAACTTGCTCCCTTCTCCGGTTGTTTGTGTACAAACCTTCCTTCCTTAGTACAGAAGGCTTTATATTTACAGAGGCAGCGATAAACAAATTCCTGTCGCTAAAACAAAACAAGAGAACCAAAACCACCAGAAGGGAGCGGAGCGGCCAGCCCCACCCCGGCAGCATGGCAGCGTCGGGAGGCGCTGCTCGGGCCTGAGGCCGGCTCCCCCGGAGGGGCCCCCAGCGGCAGACGCGGCAGCACGGCCCTGCCGGCCCGCGCCTCCCTCGGCTCTCCTCCCTGTCATCCATTTTATGAACCGCACGGCTACACACAGCTCTGCGTCAACCACAGCATGTCACAGTGCCATCTGGGTGTATTTAACTAGATTTCATAAGCAAATTAATTTTGTACTTCATAAGCAAATTAAAAGCTAAATGTGTGGCGTTTTATTTACAGAAGAGCGACAGGCTCTCTGTGCAAGCCCAATGCCTGCTTCTCTCAGCTGTCTCTAAAGTGTCCTAGGAGGTATCTCCCCCTCAGTTTGGGATGACAGCCCCTTTCCCTCAGTAGCAACTCCCCCCTGGATTCAATTTCCTCTTCAGTATCTCATTTCCAGAGCACTATCAGCAGCTCTGATATTCCCCAGTCAGCTGTGGAACAAGGACAAAATTTCAAAGTCTTCAATAAAAGAATCCAAATCACTGTGATATTATGAACACAGTCAAGCAATTGTATTTAGACCGGCTAATTTTTTTATACACCTTATTTATGCCCAACAAATCTGGAGCACATAATTTTTAAAGAATATTAATGAAAAGAACTTCAAGAAATGTAAATTATTGCTAGAGTCATTCCCCATCTGTCTTCTTCACGTAAACAGTTTCATGTAACCCATGTTACTGAATCAGAACTACTCAAAATGGACATGTCTATTGACAGTAAACAAGCCTTTACCCATCTGAACACAACAACATGCATTTTATTATTCACACTCAGGAAAGCTGCCAGTTGTACTCCCTGTCCAGGAAGTCTGAATGTTTGCTTTTCTATCTCCATTTGCCAAGTATAATTGGTTGCTATGTCAGTTTATTTAAATCAGATCCCATAAAGAAAGGAGAAATGGGGGAGGAGGGATGCTTTTAAATTCCAGATTTTGGAACATTTTATCCTGCTAACTTGCAACACTGTCTGAAGAAGAAAAAAGCACACTTCCTAAGAGAATGAAGCAACTGATATTCTGGATAGCAGCTTTCAGTTTACATGGTCAGAGATAGGTTTAGCAGCCTTAATAACTTATCAGACTTGTGCACGTCGTTTCCTAAATATAGTCAATTATTCCTGTTAAGACAGATATGGAAGTGACAGTTAATTTTGAAGGGTTTCTGCGTCCATGTACACTTCAAAATTTTTGCTCCTTCCTAAGACACCCAGGTAAGTTGGGTTAATTTTACTAAATCTCTGCTACTTTCTGTTTGCTCTTGAGTCCCTTCCAGAAATAACACTGCCATGGAAAGCTTTCAGCCACTTTTCAAGTCTTTTAACCAACTGGACAAAGGATCAAAAGTAGGGAGTCCCTGTGCAGAAAGGTCAGCTAAAATTCCTCCTCTAAAGTCATAATTGTAGCTTCCCTTTTCTCCTCCCCCAATACCTGTGTATCTTAGAATGTCTGTACTCCATGTTGAATTGTTTCATTGAATCTTGAGTACTTTAAACCACAATTTCGTTGCTTTGGCAGAAATCCCTTATTTTTGCATCGCTAAAAACAACAAAAGCCCTACATGAAACAAAACCAAACAAGAACCTCTGCTTAATATTTTAAGATTAAACTCTACTTTTTTTTTTTTTTTTTTTAGTTCTTAGTTCTTTAGTTCTTTTTTAGCTCTTCTGTCAATTATTAGAGATTTTAATGTTAACAGCCTGTCAAACTAAACAAAGGAGCTCACTCATGTAAAGCTTTCTCTGTACTAGAATGAGTCTGCCAATAGAGCTATACTGATGAAAATTGTATCAGCAAACATTCTAACTACTGGCAAAAAGGTGTCTTTTTGCCCTGTTGCATATAGCATCACATTAAAAAAATAGCTTACTTCACACACCCCAAGCTGACAGTCTCCACCAGCAGTAGCTTTTGTCCATGATCTGAGTATCCCTAAACCACAGTTTTAGAGTTAATTTGTATTTTCCAACTTTTGGGCTAAATCATGGGCTATAAACTCAGTGTTACATAAAACAAAATTTGAGATTTCAGAGCACAAGTCAACAATGGATGAATTCTCTAATGGCAAAAGACAGCCACTCTGTAGATGATATTTAGATTACCTTTTTTCCTCCTTACTTTAATGAAGTCTGCAGCTGACTCTAAAATGTTTCCACTGCAGCTGGATTATCTTGTCTGTCACAGCAGTTGTCCTCTAAGAGGCCATCCCTGCCAGAGCCCTCATCGCACTCTGCTGCAAGTTCTGCTTTGTAGATATAAGCTGTTATGCATGGAAAAATTATGGGCGCAGAAACATAGGTCCACTTTCAAAATCTGACCCAGATAACTTCCTAGATATTTCTTATATCTTTTCTGTGATTCTCTGATCTGATGAGTTACAGTGTCCCCTTACTTTCTTTTCTTCCAAGTTCTTTTTGTCTGGCCTTTGTCTTTAAGAGATGAAAATAAATGGAGAAAAAAGTCAGAGCAGCTGTCCTCTTCACTACTCATACATGGTAACTACGACTGATGTACTTTGTTAATGTAATTCTTTTAGTGGGATTGGTCCAAGTCTTGCTGAGGCTGAAGGATTTATCATGTTGGCTTCCAAGTGTTCCTTTATTACTGACACACAACATGTGGCTATAGATGGTTGTGTATATGAACTGAATTTCAACTTTCACAAATGCAGGACCAACAATATTATTTAACAATTGTTTTAATGTTTTTGTTAATAAAAGCTGCTTATTTGAAAATTACCTCCTATTTACCTATTGAAATTACACTTCCATTACTTTCATAATGCTTTATTAGTAATATGAAGCAGAATTATGCTGCTTATGTATAGGACTCCAACATTTAAAGCTTCCATATTTGCTCTGAATTCTACACAAGCTTCATACACAGCCTATGCATTAAGTATTAAAGTGCTTATATGAAGCTGCTGTACTTGCCACTTGGAAAAAAAAAACAACAATTTTTGTTCCAAATTAACATAAGCTCCTAGGTTATAATATTTAAAGTAGCTCTGACCTGACAAGCCAGATTCTCTCCCCTACATGGCTTCCATGAGGTTTTAGATGCTATAAAACAAAACCAAAAAACCCACCCTGTAATGCGCTATGGGAAAATTCAAGGGCTCCAGAGCTGCATAGGTTTGGAGTAATTAGCTTCACATTCTCCCCACCTCCCAGAGATCTTGGCAGGGTCTTGCAAGGTCAAAAGTGGAAGCAGCTGGAGTCCAGCATGCTGCAGGGATCCTGAAATACCCAGTAATCCACAAGCAGACAAGGTCACATGCTTCAAATCAAGGCCTTATCAATGTCCACTCTTTGTCCATTCCAAACTGCAGATTACATGCAGCAGAAAGCTCCCTAAACAAACTCTGCTTCCTACAGTGTTGTATGTCTGCTAACTTATTTTAATATGGAAAAAAGTGTGAGAAGGAGATACTGAAAAACTATCTATGCATAAAGACTGGACCAATTCACACACACTCCTGGTTATTTACATGGACTCATTTAAACGAGATTACAAGAGTTCTACCATCTAGTCCAATAGTTGAAGAATGAAGAGATAAATAGTAGAGGCAAAATTTCAATGTAATCAAGAGAAACTTTTTCAAATTTAGTTATATTCAGAAAACATCAGTGCAAGTAATGCATTCTCTTAGCCATTTGGTCTGCTTGAACTGATCACATCATATCCCAAGTCACATAAGTCTAATTTAGTAAGTTAAAGAAAAAAAGAAAAATTAAAAAAGAGTAGTATGTGAACCAGAATGGATCCATTAACTGACATGTTAACTGAATTTTAAACAGAGATGCTATTAATGATGATGCAACATGACAGGAAAATTCAGTTTTACTCTCAGTTGAGTTTTGAAGAGTCGTGTTTAAGCTTATTTTATCAAATTTTAAATCACATAGGTAAGGCATAATACCTCCCTTTAGGGAAGGGCAGGTATCAATCTACTCATGAATACCAACAGGCTCACGTGAGGAATTGCTGGAAAACACTATTAAGAACAGAGAACAAGAAACAAGGGCAGGATGGCTACTGATGGCTCCCCTTCCCTTTCCTCCCTCTTTGCAAGGACTCAGACCACACTGCATTTCCTGCTGCACAATCTACAGACTGGGGTCTGTAAGAGCCCTTATGCTTACCTGTGTGAGAGTAGATAAACCACAGTGCTCCTGTTAGCAGGGCTCCAATTACAAACGCTGCAAAGGCAATGCCCACAACAGTCAGAGTGTCCAGACCATAGAACACAGCTAAAAGGTAAACATACACAATAAGAGCTTTTAATTGTCAGAGACAAACAGAGTTCTACAACAATTAAACTTTCATGGAAAAGTATTGTTTTGTTTTGTTTTAAGTTAATAGTTAATTAAGCACCATTTTAAGGAAAAGATAACAGACTTTCATCAAGGAAATAAAAATGCTTTCAGAGACTGGTTTCAACCAACTGTTCCACATCACAAAGCAAAACTCGAACTCTGCACAACCAAATCTGGAAAACATTGCAAAAATTAAGCATTTTCAGTTGTCCCTTAATAACGTGCATTAAATTAGATATCCATTCATCTTAAAGATGTGTTTTTAAAAAGACAGAGATTTTTGTCACAAGATGCTTTTCATTTAAATGCCTTAACATTCAAGCAAACTTTCCTCTACATCTCCTGCATGTTCAGTCTGAAATCTAGGTGGAAAACGGAACTGTTGTTAAGAGAAGAATGATGCCAGCAAACAGTCAGCAAAAACATAAATAGAAACAATTGTTTTTCACATTTGGCAATCCTTTCAATAACTGAAATTAATTCCAGAACACAAAAATAGAACCACACACACAAAATCACTTTCTAGGGGAGAGGCCTTTCTGCACTACAATTTCAAGGGTAACAGCATCTGGTTCCTGGATGCATTGCCCCAAAAGTTAACCATCCAAAGAGAGAAATTTCCAGCTTTTCTGTTTTCCTTTTTCTTCATTAGAAGCATTTCAAAAATCACCCTTTCATCAATCATCTGGGGGAAAACTCTTCTAAGAAAATTGAATTCTAGTTTCAGTATTTTTAATATCTCCCAGTACACAAAATGGCCTAGGCCAGCAAATAACATTTTACTGACTAAACTGGCTGGGAAATGAGATGACTGGATCTTCTCAGTAGTATCCTTCAGTAGTATTCCAGTTCTCGAAACACAATCAACACTTTAGAAATAACTACACATGTTCCTGCATTCAACAGATATCCCTGTAGACATCTCTCAGTCCACCAGCTCCTGAGCTCCTCAGGGCCTTTCCCCTTTAAAAATATCCTCTCCAGCAGTTCCTGTTGGCAAGGGCCTTCAGGACTCAGACTGGGTGCCTGTGACCAAGTCTGCGTGTACAAAAACAGTTGGACTGGGACTTGAGATTTTTCTCCCATTTCTTATGTGGGGACTAATTCTTGTTCCTTTGGCCATGCTTGGTCATTCTAAATGCAAAGCAGAAAAGAATCTTCTAAACTCTTTTTTTTTTTTTTTTTCTCCCCACAAGGTACCAGCCTACTATCCTTTCCTCCGAGAAGACTTAGTGAAGAGAAGAAAGTCAACTGGAGGCTAAAGCATCAGAAGCATAATTTTTCATTCCTTTTGTTATTTTGAGCAAACTGAATCCCAAAGTCATAAGGTCAGGAACAGAGGGAAAAACCTTCTTTGCACTTCCTCTTCTAATTTTCCTTTTTCTCCGTTTATTCTTGGTGTTAGCTACAAATTACCCTCCTGTTTATTGTTGCCTTCTAGTGCTACTTCTCTTCTTTTCCCCCCTCCAGGGTCAGTTACTGATGACCCCAGTTAAAAATAAAGTTAACTTAGTCAAGACAACAGAAGAAAAAAACCACTACTACCACCAAAAAAAACCCAAAACAATTAATCTACATCAATTCAGTGCTCTCATTTGCAGCATGACCAGCGTGCTGGTGCCACAGTAATTGAGGATGTGACTAGCTGCAGTGCAGGATATGTGTAAGGCTTAGAATAGGATACAGGAGCTCCTTAGGATGGTATTGCTGCTGAAAACCTTATACTGGAAAGTGGTGGCCTTGGCAGAGGAAGAGGAAATAATTTTCATTCATCAGTACTCACACTGAGATTATCAGCGGTATTTTCCCAAATTCAGTTTTCACATTCACATATGATAACAACCCTTCTCTTTCAAGGTCAATGGGAACATCTCTAGCAGCGCTAATCAGAACTTTCTTCTGTTTCAGAATTTAACACACACACTCACTATAATTCAGAAGGCTTGAAGATAATTTTCTTCACTTATTTAATACTAAAGTTAAGGTTTAAAAGTTACTTACGTGACTGTCTCACGTTTGATTTTGGAAGGGAGGGATCTGTTTTAAAACAAAAAATAATTAATCAGACAGAATTCCACAAAGAACCTACAAACTATGCAAGAAACCTTCAGGATCTGATCTGGCAGAAAGACATGAATTGTAATCTTTGACAACCAGGAACTTCGGGAAAAACAGTTCAAATTCAGTAATCTTGCTCAGCTTAGAAAAATTCCATTCATATATTGATAATTCCTCAGAGGAACATATCTACAGTATAAGTTCACGCAGCATGCATTTTGCTGGCAAGTGCATTGCAACCTTCCACACCCAGATATCACCAGTTCTGACCTGCAACTGTTCTTGTAATCCATATGAGGAGCTCTTTAAGAGCACAGATAACAAGGGTTATTTTAAGGTGATTCATATGATTTATATTTATCACATTCATATGATTTACTCACCAATCACAACCATGATACCAGCATGCTAAAACACAAACAAAAACACAAAGCAAAACAAAAACTCAAAAATATGGCTATCAACTCTAAAGAAAGATCAGAATTATGGCACAATACATGCTGCTTTGTCCAAATTACATGAGTATATATTGATTCATGCATTTTCCTACATCCTAATGGGTATTCTGCTTTGGATGTTGGGTTTTTATTTTGTTCTGTTTTTTAAAAATATATATATAGGAAATCAAAGACCATCTATTAGACCAAACCTATTTTTCTTGGCATTATCATCATCACTATCAGCATGTAGCAGAAAGTAAATACGTGTCAAGAATTGAAGAATTTTCCCTTCTTTTGATTAACTTTTCCTCTTATCTTTCTCCAAGAATGCCACCTCCAGCAGAAAAGCTAGAGATTCTGGCTTCAGACCCAAGGCACTGTTTGGTTAGCTGGAGTTTGCTTCTCTGCTGCCCAGTAACCTAGGGATCTTGTTTAAATTCTGGTGTATTTGAGTATGTTCACTACAATAGCTGGCTGTAAAAGGACTTGATAAGACAGTATCCCAATACTTGTTTTTGTATCTTTAGGGACTGGAAAAAACAAGTTTGTCTGCAGTGCTAACACAATGGTGCAAAAGTACTGAAAACAAGTATGTTATTTAGAGTATTCTTAAACCAAGACTGCTTCTCACTTCTAAACTCTTGTGGGAGCACTAAACTGCCATCAGTATCCTGTATGATCATTATTCTCTCAGACGTGCCTACAATATACAAAAAAGCGCTTTATTCTTAAACTGCATTACTGTCAGTTACTCTAACACCTAATTATCTCCTCCAGATCACTCTTGGCAGGATAGTAGGAAACAGGTGGAACAGCAGTAGGAAACAGGTGAGAACAGAGTGTTCGCGTGTACTTGTGCGCATGTGCACACAATACACTGGAAAGGCATCAAGCACTTGTAACAGCAAGAGTATAACTGAAGGTAAGAGTTGTTAGGAAGGCTGGACTGAAACTAGGAAGCATTAAACGGTACAAACATGGGTAAAGGCACCAACAGATTGTCCAAATGCTCTACTAGCATATCCCAAGTGCCAGCAACATCCCTTCTGAGATAAGGGGAAAATTAATTTTCCATGCTCATTCTGTCACTGGCCTCCATGCAGAGAATATAAGCCTGCTAATTAATGATAGGCTCTGTAGCCCGTTATAAATTCTCCCCACTGATTCAGTTCTTCTTTTAACATGGGTAACAACACAGGAACAGTAAGAATCCTTGAAGTCCAGGGAAAGCATCTAACTTAAAACAGCAGCAGCTGGCCTTTAAAAATTATCATGATGCTTTAAGCTTTTTCAGGATAGAGGAACCCATTAGCTGTTCAACTTGACCTCCTTTCTATGGCTTGTCTCCCTTTGCTGAAATAACAATGCTTGCCAAAAATTAAAAAAATGAAATTAGTAGACTATTTCAACAGAAGAGCAAATATTTCCTAGTATTTAAAAAGCTAGCTATATGCCTTTCACTGACTTGGGGCTGGAGTGTTAAAATGCCACAATGCATAGGAAAAGTACATGACATGAAGCTTTTATACACTTTCATTGGGATCTATTGCAATAATGTTAGTAACTGAACTCATATAAAACTAAAAAAATTATTAGGGGAAGAAGAATTAGCCTCATATAGATTCATATAATCACATGCAATTCATTTAATACTTCATATAATCTCATATAATCACAGTTGGGATTTCTTCTAGAGTTGATGACGAGTCATAAGCTTGTGTCAGAAGAAAAGATGACACCTTTGCAATGATCATATTAAGACTTTTTAAATTTCAAGTACATGACTTCTTCATTTGGCTTACAGAGCAGCTCCAATAGCAGTAACTCAAATAATATGACTTACAACAATGAAATAAAATGATAAACACCACCTCTGAAATATAAATTCTCCTCTTCAGTAATGCAATATGATTTCTTCTTCAAATCTTAGGTTCACGGACAACAATGGCATTTGGCTTTTAGAAAGGGGTCATTTGATTCACTGCTGAATAACTGCATACCAACAAAGCTACGCTGTTAATGTGCTGCCTTATATTGTGTCTGAAAGCTGTGATATGCTGGGGGAGATTTCCATCAAACATCCCACAATTAGACCAAATCACCCACAATGCAACAAAATACTCTATCACACTGTTGTCTTGTAACTGATCTTTATAAATTTAGCTCATCTTTGCACACTAAGACCTTGTGCCTCTCACAAAGACAACATTCTGAGTGCAGTCCTAGATGGGAGCTGCACACAATGCTCTACACATCAGAAGAGCAAGAGAGCTCAGAGTATAAGTCTGTTTATTGAAAGATGAACTTCAGTTGTAGGATTTACTCATTCCCAATAGAATAGCAAATGAGAAAGTGGGAGTTCTGTTAAAAAGAAAGCACAGAATCAAGCCCCAAATACAGTTTTAGTTGTATCAGACAGATCAAATACTTACTTTAATTCATATTGGATTTGATCTGTACTAACAAGAAGTTTGTAAAGGAAATAATACACTCTTTTGCAGAGTTAAAACAGAAACAGTTGTTGCTTATGTCCCCTAGCAATGCTGTATGGTACTATAAATTGCTTGAAGACTAAAAAGCATGCACTGTACAACTGAGTTTAAAGGATTTCTCATGCCCATCCTTTGATATTCCCTGAAAAGCATTCCAAAATTTCAAGCAGCCTTTGTATACAAATTTAAGATTATGACGTGCACGTGAAACCACTGAAGCTTTTAATTAAACTGCCATGCTAATACAAAAGGAAAAGACAATGCACATGCACTTTCTCCTTTAATGGATGCATCAAAACATGACTGATGCTGTTATCAGAGGCATTCACCAAGAAGAACTTTCAAACTACATGAAACTGTGGAAATAGTTCTCAGTTCCCATCACTCAGTAAACACACATGGCATATCTTAAGTTGGAGCATATTCTCATCATGCCATTTTCTTCAATGGAGCACAACTAGCAGGACTACCCCAGAGGTTCAAAATTGCCTTTAAATGGATTTAGCTACTACTAATGTGAATTAGAGAACTACTTTATTGGACATGGGTGCAGAACTGAGCATATTTCACTTACATTTGCTACCCTTCAAATGAAAGCAGATCTTACTATTAAGGTACTAAAAACATGCTCTTTGTTTTTAATGACAAAAATATCTATCATACTAGAGACCCATGCTGCTTGGGGCTATGTAGGTTTAAGATGGGAAAATTATCTTTCACCATCTCCTTATACCTGGATGAGGCATTAAAGATAAGCAATATCACATTGTTACATTGACTGAACTAAAAACAGTAATAAAATTACTCTGCAAAAGATGTGAATAAGGTGTTTATTAAAAACTTCCGCAAAGATAAATGTCCTACACTGTAGCAAACAGGAGTTGCATAAAAGCTCATCTTTTTCTCTTAGTAGCCTAACAATCTAATGAGTTTCTTTCTGGTGGCCATTGCTTTGCTTTACAAACTTACTGGGCTTTAGCATTCCCAATATTTTGTAATTCTATTGCTGTCATTCCTAAATTTACAACCACAACATAGAAGTGATATAGCTGGGAACAGAGCACTGCCTTTGATCTCTGGGCAACAAGAAGCTGCTGGAAGTAGCAGTGCTATAATTTTGCTTATGAAACCCATATTTGTTGCACAGTATGGTATTCCTTTTTTAATGCCTTGCAAAACCACATTTCCAGGGATCAATAAAGCCCATTAAAAGATGGCAACAAACTACCACAATGACTGCTGCCAGGGACAAATCTAAACAAATAACATCTTACAAACACAGTATTACCATGATTTTACACAATGACACATACTTGGAATACTCTTGCTTTACCCCATGTTAAGTTGCTATATGTACACAATATAATATACATGTATATAGCTTTATTAAACAAGTCAAGCCCATTTTCATACCTTCTGGTTTTCCTTCATGAGTTACTACAACAAGGGGCTTGGTGAAGGTTTTTTTGTTGTGCATCATGGCCAAGATCATATCCACATTAAGAGAGGTGCAAGCTTCATCGGGAGGAATACACTGCAGGTGGAAAGAACAGCAAGTGAGGCTGGAGTTACTCAAAATCAAACATCTGCAGTGTCTGCCAGCATAGCTCTGCCAGCTGCACAGTTGTCTCATTATCAGTTTTATCAAAATTGCTTACCACAAAAAACAAAACAAAACAAAACAGGAGTACCTCCAAACAACACATGTAATGTAGTGGCAAAGGTAACTCTTAGCTGTGCTTCAGGATGCAACCTTTGCCTTCATTAAGGATCCTCTAACCTTTATGAGAGTGTTAGTATAGAACTTAAATTTTACTAATTACTTTACTGCGGAATAAAAAACAGGCACTAGTTTTTAAAAACCCAGCGGCCAGTATTGTAGTCACAAGTACATGCTGATCAGTATGACAAGACATCTTCAAAAAAAAACAAACAAAAAGAAAAAAAAAAACAAAAAACTTTGAGGGCCACTTACAGAAGTTGCCAAAAGTAAAAATAAATTCAAAATTCTTACAATATATTCTCTAGCAATGGATTTAAGCCATTTTCATTAGTCATAGAGGAAAATTTGGTGATTGTCTTTTGTAACAATCAGATAGAAATTATGAATTTTATTTAGAAACATTAGAGCAGTTCAGGACTATTTGCTGTAAAAACACGTAAGATGATATGGTACCAAACTGTAGCAAACATGCCAGCATTTACTTATTTTCTAACCAAGTTCTAGTGAGACATGCTAATCTCAATTCCTAAAAGAAGGGTCAAACACACTTGCAATATTATCCAGTATTATGTATGTCTTTGGAAGTTAAAACTAACATTGTTTGTAATACTATTATGTGATAATGAGAGCAAAGATAAATCTGAACTATGTGCATAATGAAAAGCAACTTCTATTTATCCCATACAATGAGATTTAAATAGAAACAGTAAATGTTGCAGTCAAAATGCGTAGCATCATGACTCTTATCCATTAAAATCTTGAGTCTAGATCTATCATATTCATTACATCAATCCAACAGCAAAACATTTAGTCATTTCAGATTTAAAAAAAAAATATCTTATCTCTTAAATCAGAAGTTTAGACTTTAAAAAATTACTGACCTTAGGCAGTCCTTCAGTATCTTTGTCTTTATTTGTACACAAAGTCAACTCACAATGAAGAAAGAGCAGTGAGATGTTGAATATTGGTTTAAACACAAAGCTAAATCTTTTTTTGTTCTTCTGTGCATGTGCTATTGGGAAGTTCACCTTCTCAGTACTGTAGAATTTAACAGATTCATCCTTAGGACAAATATTTTCTATAATGGTGTAATCAGACATTCTATCTGGATTTGAAAATGGGGAAACAAAGCATGTTTGAATGGCAAAACCCAAGGATCTGTCAGCTTTGGTCACAGAAACCTGCATTAAAAAGAAAAAAAAACATAGTAAGATCTCAGAAATTACATTTTTAGTTCATGTTTCATTCACATTTTCAACATTTATTTAAAGCGGTGATCCAGTGACGCTTCATGTTGAACTGTTTTGAAGGCTAAATGTTAAGGGTAGGCTGTCAGCGAGAAAATCTATGGTTTCAAAAGCAGCAGCTGCTTAATAGCATAAACATGCAAAATACAGCAATCCCTTATCTTTTCAAAACCATATGAAAAATCCAGACCAGATATGTAATTAATGAAAGCAACTACTGAGATGGAGCTGCTTCCCTTACAGCCAAACAGTTCATGAGAGTTCTATGAAAGGTGATTTCTAAATCCATGTCTATTTGAAACTTTAACAAAAAATTAAAAAAAATAAAAAAATAAAAAGGAAATGGAAAAAAGCAATACACAACAGAGAAACCACCCCCCGCCAAGAGTGGAATGCAGAAGCAGAGTGGAGGTCATGGTCTGATGTGTGGGTGGCATTTCTGGACTGGGGGTGGGGGAGAAGTCTACTAAAAAGCTGTAATTTTTTAAGAAATGTGAGTCTGAAATTCGTATTCAAAAAAAGAAAAAGAACTACGACTGCGAACTTGCAGGGCACTAATGTTGTTCATTTGAATTTGAAGACAGACAATAAATGCTACAGAATAATTATGAAAAAAAAATTGTAACAAATGAAGCATGCTACTTCTAATAAATAAAAGGAATGCTATGCCTGACTATTAACACTACATGATGAAAACAATTCCACAAGAAATAATTTTCTGCTTAGAAAGAAGAAACATGCCTTAAGTGTGTACCCAATCTTTATGTGCTGCATGTATATTTAAGTGAAACCCTGCAAAATGTTTGGATGCTCTGAGTTCTGCAGTGAATAATGGCATTTCTCATTTTTCTCTATGTGAGCAGTAATCAAACTAAAGATGAAAGGATGGGCTGAAATATCTAAGCAAGAGATACCATCTTATAAAAAAACAAACGGGCAAATAAAAATGAAGCCACTGATATTGATAGGTAAACTGACTGTGTAAACAGAGATTATGACAAGGAGGACAAGTATACTACATCATGAAACACTATCATGTAAACAAAAGGATGAATGGTATCTCAAGGAAACAAAAAGAACTATAGGGAAGGTGAGACCAGAATTATGGTAAGAATATGAAAGCCAAGAATGAGAAAAAAAAGAGCCAAAATATAAAATACTGAAGATTTTTTTTTTTAGCAGAGAAGGAAAAGGCAGATAGAGTTCTTACAGATTATGACCTAAGTAATTTACTGAGCAAAATTTTTATTTATATATATATACACATATATATAATATATAGGTATTAGCCACAAAAAGAAAACAAACAAATGCCAAAAAAATCTGTCAGATAAAAATGAAATCACAGAAGTCCAAAACTGATATAGATTTTCCACTGTGTAAGAAAAAGTAACAGAAAAAAAAAAAAAAAAAAAGAATAAAGGTCCTGTGCCAGGACAGGTGATGAAGAAATCAGAACACTTGTCTGAATTAGCAGCTCCAGAATCAGACCAATCCAGAGAGCTAGGAGCCAAGGGAATTAATCCTAGATTGCTGAAGGAAGCAGCAGGTTTTATGCGAATGAAAAAAATAAATGTGTCTTTTATAAACATTCTTGAATGATGGTGACATACTTTCTTTTTGCTTCAACTGTCTTAAGTACTTTTCACTATAGCATTGTTTAAAGTTGTTTTGGCAGAAAACAAACAAAAGCGTTAGAGATAACTAGATCTGTTTAGATCTGCTTACTGATGTAATGGGTTTAATTTTAGCTCTGAGGATATGGCAAAGCTCCTGTGGTACTCTTATCATTGTTTAGTTGGTATTTTAGTCTCAAAAAAGCAAGAGAAAATGAACAAAAAACAAAACCAAAGACCTTCACAGATTATCTGCTATCTAACAGCCCTGAAATGAATGCAGTATTTTTTAAAGAAAGGAAGTAGAAAAGGCTATAGTAGCAGATCCTATAGTACAGCAGGAGCACGGGAAAAACAAAAACCTGGAGCTCTGGCACCACTTTCATGCTTCTGTTCCATCACAAAGTGTCTTGTACTGTATAATAGGACAAAGACCAAGAGAAACTCCTTTAAAATTACTATACGCGATACATTTTCAAGATGAATCTTTACGGTCTTTTATTCTCCAAAGAAGTGGAAATCTCTTCACTAGAGAGAGAATGAAAAAGAGTCACAAGACACTGAAACAGCAATGAAAACTGTTCTAATGTCAAACAAGCCACTATGCTCATGGCTGCTGACTTTGCTGCGCTTATTTACCTTCTACTGTAGATCTCGTGTGATGAGCACAAGACCTGTAACTGGAGTTTTTAAGTGGATCAGAGAGAGAACAGGATCTGTATTAACTTCACAACCTAAGAACACTACCATGTGAAAGACAGACACTTGAACCATTTTTTCATGCCTACATTGTTCAGATGAGGTTCAGCTGTATTACCCAATAAAATGAACCCTGAAGTCTTCACCAGAAAATGACAGTTCAGAGCAAGATCTCAGAGACCACCTTAAGTTCTGCACAGTAAAGCAGATATAATAAGAATGACTAATCTACCTTGTACTGAAATTCATCCATTCTGCAGGAATCCTGTGATTTTGACCAAAAGCATTGTCCTGCTTCTTAACCCACATTTTGTATTCTCCATAGCCCCAAAACCTCATACTTGTCAGTTTAAAGCAACTGCATAAGGAGGTCTTTCTACCGACAAGCATAAATTTGGCTCAGTTGCATGACCTTGTGTTTGGCTAGTTTGAAAGCCTTTATCGTTTGTTACCTCTACGTATATTGGCCCGTTCTCAGCAACAGAGAAGAGTCCTTGGGAGGGAGCAAGGAACAGATCTGTTTTGTATAGCTCCATGTTGAAGGTCACATTCATGACGTGTGGTTCAGGAGGCCAGAACATGGCAGGATTAAAAAAATCCTTCTCTGGCTGGTGCAGTGTGCAATTAAACTGAAAAATAAATAAATAAAGAAAGAAAGAAAGAAAGAAATGCACTGGTACAAATACATCCTGAGTCAGGAATGGTAGCTGGATAAGGACAAGTTTGGAGTGTACAATATTGGCCCACCCACGTTCCCTCTATTTAGTGCCACTCTTCAGCAGGGTTACAAGAAACAGAAGTGTGAGGAAAAGTGGTAAAAGACAAATTAATTGCTATTATTATGAATGCAATTTTTGTGAGCTGCCTCTTACAACAGGTTTCTCCTCTATTGTCAGGTACAAAACCAGGAGTAACATACCGCTATTTCAGGCCAGCTTGAGAAAGTAATGTCTCCCTCATCACCATCCCCTGGAAATCCATTATCACCTGATTCCATGTCATCATCATCAAAGCCACTGCTTTCAGCTGGTGATGACAGCTGAATGACAATCTGCACAAAAGGTATTACAAATGCATAAAATTAGATGATAACTGAGCGCTCTGTGGTTATTATTTTCTTCTCTCTTCAGAACAATGTGAAGGCCTAAAGAAGTGCACCAGCTAATCAGATGGTGAAAGAACATCTTAAATGCTTGGCACAAAAGCTGTTTAAGATATGTAGGTTACATTTTGTGAACACCCTTTAGTTTGTTTCCAGAATTCAGAAACAGAAAAAACAATAAAAATGCTGGTCTGGGTGTTGATATCCAAATGAACATTCCAGAATTTCCATTCTGTTTCTGGTACTTGTATAACCAACACTGATTTTAAAAATGGCTTTCTAAAGTGATTTTTCACAATTTACAGTTTTCCTTAATGCCCTTACTGAATATCATTGAAAGTATTAGGCTCATTAAGGATTTTTTCTTCTGTCATTTCCATTTATATTTTTAGAGATGTAGACCCCAAAACATGTCTCTTTCTTCATTTTTCCCTTTTTTCCTCTGAATTTCTACTTAACATTCCCCTGTTTTTCTTCCTCCTTTCCACACTTCTCCATTTCTTCACTTGACAGTCCCTTTTTTCTGTTAGCTATCTATGTCCTGCAGTTCCTCAGCTAGACCCCTCCCTTGTAAGACTTTCATATTTGTTTTCTTGAACATAAAGCAAACAGTAAGAAGTGATATATACTCTCTTTGAGATTCCATTCATACCATCCATACATGATTCTCAGTTTAAGTGAGTAACCAAGACTCGTAAAGACATGGTGGAGAAAGGAGAGAAGCAACAGCAAATATCCGTTTTGGTTTGGACCATAATAGAACATAATACAGGGACAATGACAGTATTTAGCTCCAGACACATGCTATTCTGTAGTTTGGAGATGTTTCTATCCACAGTCTCGGTTTGAGATTGCTTCTAAAGTTAGGTGCTACAGACTTGCCAATATAGAACAGTTTTAGCCAGGCAAGGTCAGATGAAATTGCCTTAGCTGTGTTTGGGTTGGACCACAGGCCTTCCATCATTTGCCAAGGTTATGTACTGGAAAGCTCAGCAAGAGAAACCTGTCATTACTTTCCAACCCAGATTAGTCACAATGTATTTAAGGTCATAAACTGAGCCAGCGTCGAAGCAGTCTCTGGAACCTATGCAGGCTTCTTAACATCATCACTCACACAAAAGTACTCAGATACCCTTCATCACATACATCCACTGATAGCAAGTATGAATCCAAAATACAAGCATGCACAGATAGTCTCTTTTCCTCACTTTTTGAAAGACTTTCACCCACTAATCAGAAAGAAAAAAAATCACCTTAAATAATTCAGCATGTGAATTAAATGGTATTGCTCTCTGCAATCACAGAACTTCATTCCTGTCCCTTCCTATAGCCATGTAGTATTGCTTACATGTGGGCACATTCAAGCTGCATAGGGAAAGCATGTGCAAACTCTCTGAGACTGGTACAGATGGTCCCCAAACTTCAGCCCTGTAGTTTTGTAAAAGCACATAATTTCAACTCCTCGTTTTCCCTTTGGGATACTATCCGCAGTGGTACACTGAATGCATGGCCTTCATACAGCCTTGAATACAGGGACTGTAGCTGCAACTAGGTTTGTGCTCTACAGAAAAAATATCAGGATTCCTCCTTTCTGCTAAGTCTAAAGCTAACTACAATGGCTTCCCTGTACCACTATGACGTGCAGCAGAGGAGAAGGCTCCTCTTTCTAAAATACTCACAGAGTTAAAATAAACAATCTTGTCCAAGATATATGCTGTCCGTGTCCCGCATTTATTCGGTAAAGACTCCAAAATGAAATGGGTACCATTCATCCTGGCCTTGCAAGAATGATCCAGCAGTGAGAGCTCTGTCCTTGTGTAGCCGCTAGCCTAAAACAAAGATGCTTTGTAAATGGCTGAAACCTCTGCTGAAATACTATTGTGTTAGACTCTCGCTTAAAGTGCAGCTCAGAATACTGTTCATGACCACTGATAAGAGGAAGTGAGGTTCATTGTACTGACATCCAGGGAAGGTCAACCTCAAAATGCTGTTATACACGACAGACAGGGAATAAAAGTAACATGGAACAAAGGAAACAACAGGTTCATTATTAATCTGCTGACACAAACTCTATTTGGTCTAAAATGAGCTAAAAATGCTTTAGTCTGTATCAGGCTCTTTTCCACAATGCAAATGGGCACAAGCAACCTATCAGCTGCTAAATGGTCAAGACGGAATAAAATACCACATAATGGGAAACAGTGGACTATACAGTTTCACCCTCTAACTTTCCATCCCCTTAGCTGCTGCTTCACAGACCTATTCAGGTCTTACACAGCTATCAAAAGCAGCTTCTTTGTATTTTGGAGATTAAAAATTCTGACTGGTGGCTGAATACAGTAGTTTTTGACAGAATCAACATGGCAAATCCTTAACCAGAAATCCCTCTACGAACTACTGTATTGATGGGAAGAGGAAACAAGACCCAGCATTATGGCAAAGGATATCCACAGTATAGTTTCCTCAAACTTTTTTTTTAAGGGGTGAGGGTGGTAATATTCTTAGAATATTTATTTTTAAAATCAAAATACAAACAAAATGGCCTGCCCTAAATAGTTTGCCCAAATTTGACAATACGAGATCACACATACCTGTAGAGAGTTTTTTTCTACAGCCACCTTCATGACTTTGTCATCACACTTTATTGACAGGGCTACATCAGCACTGCCCTGAACCTCTTCAGGTTCTTTGTGCTTTGGGAGGGAATGCTCAAAGTCATGATTTATTAATGTGTCCACTGAATCCCTGGATGGGAAAATTCCTTCTCCCACTGTGTCATGCCTTCCTCTGTTAATGTGAAAGGGAAAAGTCAGGCCATCATTTAATGCAGGATTCTTTGAGGCAGGCAGCAGTTCTGTCAGCTCTGGAGGAAGAGAATGGTCTTCTTCATCATTCATCTCTTCTAAAAGCAAAAAAAAAAAAAAAAAAGTAAATTAGGTTAGTAAATATTTTTTTTCATAGAAGAATTCATAACTGAGTAATTTTCATGCCAAAAAAAATCACCCAGAAAGGAAGCCCCTGAAAGACATCCAAAGTAACATCTTTCTACTTTATAGGTAACCAGCCATAATTCCTCTGCTAAGGGTTTAGTTGCTACTGAGGAATTTAATCTGGGTATATTTAATCCCTTCTAGAAATATGCCTCACTAACAGTTAACAACGGACTTTGAGGAGTGGGCTTCACTGTATGCAAGGGCAACCACAAACATAAAGGAAACACCATAGCCCAGAAATACACTATTTTAGTGCTGCTGAAATATCATCTGTTCAAATCACTGACTGAAATTCTTCTGTTACCTGATGGCACAATTTCCACTGTTGTGGAAGTACTTACATAGCCAAAGTGAAGTTAAATGAGCGTTAACTTTATGATGAGTAATGAGAACACTATATATCTCCTGGCTTATAGGTAGTACTGCTCAGGACCGAAATCTCGACATCTGGCCCAAGCAGATAATTATCTGGAAACCATGAGAGTGCAGCTGATAAAATCTGTGTAAATATAAGCATTTATCAAAACAACTAAACAAAATTTATAGGGACTTAAATTCAGAACGAGTGCAAAAGCAGAAGCAAATCTACTAGCTTCGATGGACCAGGATATATTTACATCAGCAATGACTTTGGCCAAGTAAATTTTTTTAATGGTTGTATTTATTCCATTTGCTCATACTTTTCTGATAAGCCAGTTTTGTCTGTAAACTATTTAAAAGTTCATTTAACTGTCTCAAGGAAATGTGTTCATATTTTTGATAAAAATCAAAACTGAATTTATTAACTAACAAAATATCCAGTCACTGAAGTCCTCTCTTTCCAGCAAGCACTGAGCACGGTCAAGCTTCTGAACTGAACAAACTATAAGCATTTAATTCCACCAACACTTCAGGACATAATACAATTTCCCTGGAATTTTCTGATCAAGAAGTCACAGATTTTTTGCTGTTGTTTTTAAACCAGCAGTTAGATGTATTCCCAACACAAATGATAATGAGCAGTGAAAGTAGTACAACACCCAACAACAAATCTTTAAAACTGAGAAAGGAGATTTCAAAGCATCATACACCTGGCAACACAGCAAATGTTTTTTTTCTATATAATAAAACTCCATCTTTAAGCTTACCTGTATCTTCAAGTTGCAGGTGAAATCTGTTAGCAACGGGGGCTTTTGTGTAGGAAGTAACCGGACTATATTTATGCTCATAAGCCCACTTGATCAAACTCTCATGAGAAGAAGGAATATCAGGTATTACTGATTTACTCATAATCATGGATCGCTCTGTTTCCTTTCCAAAACCAATACTGTTTGATGTCTGCAAACAAAGAAAAACATGGCTCATGATCTACCATTTAAGGATACTTGACATGAAGTCAGGATATTCTATGATTCTATGACTCTATGAAATATCGACACCGATTTCACATTTTGGTGAGAAATGTTACTTTATCAATTAACAGAGCAGTTTGCAAATGGAGATCACCTGGGAAATAAAATAAATCGCCGTCTTAAACACAGAACTGCTGTACAGCTGGAGAAAAGCTCTGCCTTCCTCCCAGCCTCTGACTGGTTCAGGCTGTTCCAGGGTAAAGTCAATCAAGTTGGTCAGATGTAGTTAATCCCTAAACAAGAGGGGTGTATTTATAGCCATTTGTTTAATACTGAATTTTCTTCAAAACTGAGAAATGCTGAACAGTGAGGTGAGAATATGCACTTTTATGACAGACCAAACTAATTATAAGACAACATATACTTTCTATACCCCCCAAAAAACTTAGAATTTAATGAACTACGATATAAGTTTTACACAACTACGTTGGTACAGCAAACTCACAGAAATACACTTGCCAGCCTCTTAGTTGTACTGGTAATTACAAATAATGGCCATGGAATACAGATGAGTGTCACAGTCATTTAGCTTTCATTTTACTGTAAAAGTGTGACAAAATTTCAAATTTTCTTGTCCAAATACGCAAGTCAAGAGGATACAACAAGCATCTCTAGCTGTCAGAGGGGCAGACAGAAAATATTCACTGATATTACGTTTTAACTTGTTTTAAATGCTTAAATGTAAATATGTTTTCCCACAAGGCTAAGCCCTTATATATTTATTGTTATGGTATTACTGTTATCACTGTAACAATCACATTAAGAACTACAGAGCAAGCTAAACACTCATAGCAGTAAAGGGCACAATGACCCACTTATCAATGATTCCTGCAATGTGACTGAACTGAACTTTCTATACGCAGATTACATCATTTAATGCTGTACAGCACACACTTTCATTTCCATTCCTGATTACATTCTCCATCATACAGGCTGCATTTTATTTATTTTAAGTCCCCATTAGTTTCCTTCAACATGAAAACAGTGTTATTTTTCTCTTGCTCAAGAACTTAAAAAAAAATTAAAAAATTATTGCACTGATTTCTTGCTTCTGCCCAGCCTTTTTTTAGGTCATATGGCTGTACTGCACAGGGTCACGGAGGTGTTATATTCCTCTACTTGACTTCAGAAGTAGAGCCTTTGAACAAAGCAGTGATTAAAGCTCATGAGTTCTGATAGAATAATATAATTTACCTTGATCTCTCTCCCTCATTTCTTTGTAATGCAATTTTGCATTCTTTAAGCACTCAAATCTTCACAACTGAAGTTAAAGGGAGTTTTAGGTGCCAAGTATCTGGTTTGATGATACTGTTAGCAGTACAGTTATCAATGACCAGCAAAGGTCACTGAAGCACAGAAATATAAAGGAAGCAATGGGTATCCTAATTTTAGTGCTTTATTACTGTTTTGGATCAAATAGTATTTTATTCTTCAACAGATACAAATCTGGATACAATTTATTACACGCAGCTTTGACTGGATGGAATTATTATGCTATCCCAATTTCGCTGGATCTCCCTCTCTGCTTTCCTTTCCTTTTTGTCAGGATTAGACAGCTGAATAAATATTATTCCAGAACTTTATTGTCTTAGCTGGCATCTGACCATTTTCAGGGCTTGTTTATACCTCTCCATGCCACAGTGAGCCTGTAAATGTTCAGTCCTGCATCGCCTTGATGAAACAAAGCCAAGCACAAGGACTTGCAGGAATAGGCACACCTTCCTTCACTTGCTTGTTCTGTCAACACCCTCACACGTAGTACTGGCAATCAACAGAGCCACCCAACAAACTATTCAGAATAAAGAGAGATGATTTCAGAAATTGGTAGGCACTTCTCCTCATTTCAAGATCACTTCCTTCAAGCTTATGAAATCTTCAGAGATTTCTTCTGTGCATTTTACCTCTTTCACTCTTTGTCCCTCAGCACACTCGTTTCTTTGAAATAAATGGAAGCTAATGCAATTTATCAAATCTTTCTGATGTCACTTCTTTTTGCACTATACTGTCTATAGCTTTGTAAAAAGACACCCACACTGAAGGAAGCAATGTGAAGTACAGATAATCCAACAAGCACAGAAACTGAAATTGATGTAAGGACATACGACTGCAAACACTGCCTGTGAGAACAGCACTACACATACTTTGTGTAATTCTTTTACCTAAACTACTCACTTTTTACTCAATTTTGTGTCCATCAATGATCAAGAAGCATACCAAGCTGGGAGATGAGCTACATGACTCAAAAAGGTTGTTTCTTTTTGTTTCTTTGTTTTTTCCACTTCTTGTCTATGAACCTGGACCTTAACTCAGTGCTGGGTTTGAGGCAGCGCAGCATTAACCTTTCACTCAATCTGACAATCCCCTCAAGACAATCCTGACTTGTGTTGAGGGCAAGAAGTTAGGAAAACTGAAGTGCATGGAACCAACTCAACTAATAAAAAATAACATTGTGAAGCATTACCTAATTGTTTAGTAATGTTTTTACGCATTGTCTAAATTTGGGCTTGGAAAGACCTTCAGCTTAATAGAGATATGAACAGATCCTAAATCCTGGATGTATATGCTTTTTTAATGACAAGCGGGTGTTTACTTCCCTTCCCTACTCCCCTATAAATAAAGTAGAACAAACATACATTCAGAAAATGGGACCTCTATATGAATGAAGCAGTAAACACCCACAAATCCAAACATAAATATACAGCCTAACAGACCGACATTTCCATATATAGTATTATTTTCTTTTGCTGATCTAAATAACATGTTGACTTTTGCCACCCATTACAGAAATAATTTTTACTTATACTGGCAATAATTACTAAATAACATTTTAAAATACCCTAGAAATCCTCACTTGAAAAATTCATCATCTACAAAGAGGTAGCTTCGTAGATACGCAATGCGTTACTATGGGTATCTGCAAGCATGAAGTGAACTAATGCACCATTGTCTGTCCTGTTAAAGCAGGCCCACACAGCATTGGCTAAGAGGTCTAAATATACATGGGTGATTCTTGTGCAATAATCCAGAATGAAACTTTAAAGTCCAGTGTTTTTCGGGCTGGTTAGTTAGGACCAGAATGTCCTTTCCTGTCCATAAGATAAAGATGCACCAGGGATCAGAAGGGAATTTCATCATCAAATCTTGAAAATATTTTCAGACAATTTTCTAAGCAACACCATCGCTTGTTTCCTTTTAAATCCCTCACTCTCAAAATCAAGTGTCAAATTCTAAGAGAACAGAGTGGTATGCAAAAGATTTAGATCAAGCAGCCTTTGGATCCTACCAGTATTGCCCTGCATGCATTGAATGGATAAAGCTGCTAAGCAAAGTGAAATTCTTATAAATATAGATAACCAGAGTTTGAAAGTATACCTTAGTTATTAAAAAAAAAGTTAATCAGTAGGCCACTGGCTGGTCCTGAGCCAGCATTAAGATCAACTTTACAATGCACTCAATTGATCATTTAAGAGAGAAACAAGCCATGCATTTATAGGCCATGACATCATTCTAATTTTTATTCTTTTCTTTTTTTTTTCTTTCAAAAAAGGGAAAATGCATTTTCTTAGTAGAAACAGCATTGAGCCACAGAGTCTGTGCCAAAAATCATTCTGAATCTGAGCTTCCAATTATGTGTAAGAACAGGTTTCAAAGGCTTAGCTTTATCAACCCTGGTTTTATTATTTTTTTAAACTATTATTTGTGGTCTGAGCAGAGGTGAGGTCAATTTGACCAAACACTTGCTGGGGACAGAAATATTGGTAGGGGAGAAGGCTGGAGACCACTAGAATCACAAGGAAGGAGCAAATCAGTTCCCACTTCTAAAGCAACATGGGTATATGACTTGTATCTAGAATTATCCATTCTCAATTCACAGGCATCTTTCCAACTTCTGAAATAAACCTGTAGATCCTCTCACCAAAGTAACAGCAAGAAGGGAGATGAAGATCCAGCTTAATGTTTAGGGTACTTCAACAGAAGTTAAGAAGACATAGAACCTAAATCCTTGCACTAACCACCCAAATTCTGTGATGTGTTGGTCAGTACGTAAAGGAGAAAAAAGTACATATAGTTTCTGAATTTACTCCTTGAAATGTAGTAATAATCCAAAAAAAAAAAAAAAAGGCAACTAAGAATACATTCAAAAATCAATATAGGACAGTACTACATCATGTTCAAATAGATTCTATACTGCTGCAGCATGGTATATCTCGAAAAATAAAAGGTGCCTTAACTTACAATCACTTCCAGCTTTCCCTGGACATCGTGTGACTTGATAACCCAATTGACAGATTTTTTACACTTGAGGATAAGTACGATGTCTCTGACAAGCCTGGCGCCTGGTTGAGATGGTTTAATGTCAACGATTATATCCACCTGGAAAGCACTGTGTGTGGAAAATAGAGAGAAAGTAAGACCAGAATGCCAGACATTTTCAGCTATCAACCTTCTTCCAATCCATCATGTTTCCACTGTCTGGCCAGCTGATTAAAATGCTGAAGATTATCCCAGACAACACAACATGTGCAAAACAGATTGTTATTCCACATACTCTTAAATGATTTTATGTAACAATAGACACAACTTCTCTTCAACTACTCTTTAGACAAATAATATTTTTTGTTTCTTTGTTTATGAGAAGTGTGCTACTCATTTCATTTATTATTTGGAGCAGGGTAGTTTTATGAGTAGCAGTTTTGTTTTATACAGTAAATACTGTTTTCTTAATTCACTGCAATGGTGCCTCGAGTTTCTTCTAGGTATAACCATATTAAAACTCAAAACAATACCTTAAATAAGCAAAAATACAAATTAAGCAAGTTAATAGCAAAAAATGCACAGATACTATATTAGACAACGTCTCTGCCTTCGCAGTTAAATTGTGGAAATTACTTTGCATAGGATCTTGTGTGTGTTGAGGAATTAAGCCGTCATATTTAGTTTCCAATACTTCTGGATATATACTCATTTCAAAACGAAAAGAAAACAGATGTACAGCCTACTGGTTGCTGGAAAATAGATGAACACTATCCAGATTTTCAAGCCTTCAGTAAAAATAAGGAGAGCAATAATATCTCATCATGCAAAATATTAATACAAAAGAAAAACCTTTACTTCCAAATCATCTTATAGGGACATGTCATAAGAATGTGCTCATCACCAAATATCATGTTTCAACTAATCTTCTGCATTAAGACTTAGTATCTTGGGTCCTTTTGTTTTAACGCCTGTAGTTTTATACATACTCAGCTCAGCTTCTGTATGTTTCTATGTGAATAAACTTCATTAAGATAGTTGTGGCAAATATTTATAACCAAGAATGAAGCAAGAAGAAACTTAACACCCTTAATGCCTTTTTTAAATTTTAATATTGTAACATTTAAACACTTTGCAGCGTTATCACCTGAAAAACAAATTCCTGTCATGCATTCTCAGCCAAAGTCAAAAGCCAAGAGGGATGGAGACATAGCTGTCACCATTGCACAATGCTACAAGGGACTTACTGTGAGTGTGATGTTGATGCCAACCATCAGCTCTATTGAAGATGGGGCTGCTGCCCACTGCCATATACAGGCAAATGCTTTGGACTAAGCTACTTGCCTTCCAACACACCTCAGCACATTCTTACTCTCCCAAAGTTGGTACACAAGAGAGCATTTTCAGGCTCTGGGTTTAGCATCTTGCAATGAGATAATTACCCTTCTTGCAAAGAACCCTCCTCCCACCTCCGACTCCCTGTGTGATTTCCTGATTAGGAATGGGATGTGCTCGAATGTAATGCATGAGGAGCAAAAGTGGACAATGTTGGAAAGCCAGTGCCTGCAGTAAGCAGACAGGATTTTAATTGTATCTCATCTCTGATGAAATTGTATTTTTCTTCTTATAAGAAACAAAACCATACAAGTTTCATGGCAAATTTATGTTCTAGCAACTCAGCACTTATGAAAAGCTTTTTCAGGTGTGATCATCTGAAAGCAAACTCTAGGTCACGTGCTCCCACTAAGACCTAGGAGACACAGGCAAAGGCTAAATATTTTAAGTCATAACTCTGAAGTTTATAGTATCTTTGACAATTCAGATAACCCTAATAATACATACAGAGTTAAATAATCTCCCCTAACCACTACACTTCACTATGGTGCTCAAGACCAGGTTGGATGAGGCACTGGGCAACCTGATCTAGCAGGTGGGATCCCCACCCATGGCCGGGGCATTAGGAACTATATGGTCTTTAAGGTCCATTCTATCCCAAGCCATTTTATGATATAATTCTGTGCCTATACATGTATTCATATACTCAACCCTTTTTCTTACAGATTTTCATACAGATTATCAAGATATTCCTTAAACTCAACTTGAAATGTTACAGAAAATCCTGGTATGATTCTGCAAACTAACTGTGAATCATTTACCACAGATCACTTGTGACCTCTGGATCTCTGTTTGGTAACCAGTGCCCTTGGCTTTGCTACCAGTCATCATTACCTGTGACAGGACAAGATTACTTTTAACCCTTCTCTTACTTCCTCATAGAGTGGGCTCATCTTAATCCCTGTCTGTAAGATTCTGTCCTTATTCATATTCCCTTATACACCTTAGCCTTGGAAAACTTCAGTTGACTGAGCAAAATTTCAGTCTGCGGGAAGGCAGGATATAGTCCATGAAAACTGTGCTCTACAGTATTGTCCAGAAAAATCCTGGAATCATGAAGCAGAATCCAAAATTTTTACATGCAGAAGAACTAGTTTCTACTTAAGGTAAAGTACTAAAGGCCAAGCTCTTCTTGTAATGATGAAATGACTACCTCCATTTGATTTCCAACAGACAGATGAAATCCTTAACTTTTAGACAGATTTGGTCAATTTAGAGGATACTTTACCTGTATGGATTGGAATTTGGAGTAATTAGCTCAATGATATGAACTTCCCTTTCTTGGACTAAATTAGACATAAGGCACCCCTCTGCTGTTTTTGGTTGTAGGTATCCCGCAAGGTAATTTAAAGAGAGAAAATTCTTTTCTATGTTGCACGAGGGAGGAAACACTTGATCTGGAGAAAAAGAAAAAAAAAGAAAGAAAAGCTTCATACATAAATATCAGTTTACATTCATGTATACATAGCATCTACTTCAGTGCAGCACTGTATTTTATGGTGTAGATCTCTAGGCCAAAAGGTATATTTATTACCTATCATAAGTACTTAAGAGAAATCAACATAATCACAGAATCACAGAATTTCTAGGTTGGAAGAGACCTCAAGATCATCGAGTCCAACCTCTAACCTAACACTAACAGTCCCCACTAAACCATATCCCTAAGCTCTACATCTAAACGTCTTTTAAAGACTTCCAGGGATGGTGACTCCACCACCTCCCTGGGCAGCCTGTTCCAGTGCCTAACAACCCTTTCAGTAAAGAAGTTCTTCCTAACATCTAACCTAAAACTCCCCTGGTGCAACTTAAGCCCATTCCCCCTCATCTTGTCACCAGGCACATGGGAGAACAGACCAAGCCCCACCTCACTACAGCCTCCTTTAAGGTATCTGTAGAGAGCAATAAGGTCACCCCTGAGCCTCCGTTGAAAGGGAGATCACCACTGCAAAAACATAGCACACCTTTGATGTAATTTCTGTTAAATATTTAAATCTGTAGTTTAGAAGTACTCTGTCATCCCTCCAAGAAATCTGAAAACAATACTAAAGTATGTAAGCATTTTTCAAAATAAAAAAGTACTTAATTTGTTCCTTGCATATTTAATTTCAAAATACATATTTTTTATCTCATAGAAAACATCTATGTTCAACTCCTCCCTTTAGAAAATGCTTTTTTTTTCTTATTATAAACTTGCTGTTTTTAAAAATCACAGAAAATATTTTCTATTTCCTTGCTCAGTATATTTTCCTACATTTTGTGCAGTCAAGAGTTGGTGTAGAAATACTACAGTTCTTTAGTACAAGGAAAACTGAATGTAGCAAGATAATGATGGCAAATTATTGATATAAAGGAAGTCCAATCATTATACCCATAATTAAAGTGGGGAAGTTCTATGGCATATAATCTCTTGTTGTTTTAACTACCTAGCTGATCACAAGCATTAATTACTATACAAAACAAAAAATAGTCATTTGGTATGATGTTCTCAAGCACAGCCTATATTACTGTGCCTCAAGAAGCTGTATATCCGTTTAAATATAAGAATACTTCGTATTTCTGAAATAGCTTTACGTATGAATTATCACAATACACAGAAAGACAACATTTTGTGCTCAAGAAAAAGTCTTTTGAGAACAGAATTTCAAACAGTTATGTCTCTGACCTTTGCTTGATAAAGGCGGCCTTCCTATTAAGAACAGTAGCAAGGTAGAAAAAAATTACAACAAACATTGTTGTAATTTGTAATTTTACATTGTGTATGTAAAGCTGTGGATGAACTCCTAGAAACTGAGCTGAGACCACTGTTTGCATTTGCTCCACAAATTAGAGCTGAAACATCATTCCTGAAGTGCAATTGCATGTGGTACACAACTTTTCAGGGAGACCTGGGACTTCCGTGACCCCAGCTACAATGGAAACAACTAGGAGAGTTTCTTCTCATCTTACACAGCGCAGTCTTTGAATATTAACCTTGCTGTCTTTTGTACAGAACCTATGAAAGATGTATGGGACAGTAACGATTCCTACTCCACAAGGAAAGCACTCCTCTAACATCTGGTGCGTGCCCTGTCAGATTAGCCTCGAATGCAGCTGCAGTTCTGCCAACTCCTCCCACAACAGCAGAGAATGGAAAGTAATCCCAAATGATCTATACTGAACTTGAATTTATATCTATCTACAGAGTTATACATATATAGATAAGATGTATTTGCTTCTCAGTTGCCATGCTACAACACAGGTCAAGCCATAAAATACTAGCCTCTAAGTAGTTTGGGGATAATTACCACAGGTGCTATCATTAGCCATTGCAAAGAGCTTGACTTCAGCTCCTGGCACTTCCATGCAATGCCTCTGCAGCTCTTAAGGAACCCCTGCTCTCACTGCCACCAGCACTGAGACACCCCAGCCTGGGCCCCTGCTCGATAGCACGCTTTTCTTCTGCAGCTCATTTTAACTGTCACTGGCGACTTGACATACACACTTACGTCCTCCTGGCACACCTTCCACCAAATGTACTTATTCCTGTGTCAGCTAGTTACCAAGATCTGGGTTGTAACAGAAAAGAAAAGGAGATCCATTTCTATTTTCTTTGGTCACTACATTTTTTTCTTCTTCTTCTCTTTCTTCACTTCATATTTGTTTACTTACTTTAAAAGGGTACTAGAAGTGTCTGCAATCCATTAATAAGCTTATTAAAACAGTAAAACAGCCAATTTGTGGGCCCTACACCTCTCTAATCTCAAAAGACTACCAATAAATTCTCCTGGAGTAACGTCAGGCAAGGCCCTGGCAAGCAGGCACATAAGCCAAGGAGCCCCACTGGCCAGAAGGCAGGCGCTGCAGTTGTGCACAGCTGCCAGCCCCTGCCTTTCCCTCCAGCACTCACAAGCTACTCCAATTAAGACTGTATTGAACGCTGGGAGCTGTAGTTTCTGTGGGCAGCACCTCCATTTTAAAGAGGAGGACAGACGCTGTCTGCTGTCTTCTGTACAAATCACGTGTCACCCACAGGCTCTTGGCTAAACTGGGTAAAACTTGAGTATCCCAGCTTAAAAGATTTTTGTGCAAATGAGAGCTGCTAATCAGGTGTCACTCTCCAAGACAGGTGCCCTTGGCAACAGCAGCTTAATTCAGCAATAAAAATCTCATCCAAGCAGAACTTGCCTTTCAGAAGTGTAAGCTGGGGATGAACAAGATGTCTGGGATTTTCCACTGCCACTCAAATAGCAGGGCTTTTTCACAGGCATTTTGCAGTTTACTGGCCCTTCACACTACGGAGATCATCATCTCAAGTTTAAAATGGCACTGTGTTAAAAAAGGGAAGGTGTCTGCAGTCTTTGTAGGGAGGTTGGAAGCTCCTACCAGTCAGTACTCACCCTAGAGCAGTGAGCTGGAGCAAGGAAGGACAGGACAAACCACCAAAGCACAGCACAAAGCATTCACCTACAAGTATTAAACCCAGCAAGTCTGTGTGCAGGACATGTGCACTAGTGTACACAGGGTGCAAATTCAGAGTCAGGACTGAAGCTTTAGCTTCTGCCAGGACAGGAGCACAGCAATACAGTTTGTAAACAGATTGCACATGAAGTATTTTTCAGCTTGTTATTGTTATGGTTGACTTTTTTCTTATTTAGAAATGTGTTGAAAATAATCTCCTTCCTAGCTAGCACAGCTGCCCTGGACTTAGATTGGTGATACTGGATGCATCAGGTAACGTTTAGCTAACTGATAAGTCTTCCTGACCTGTATAATCACATCTTATTGAGGCATGAGGAGTGAACTGACTTTTCTACTGAAAAATGTATGACTAATATGACTTCCACTATGAGCAGTCCAGCTTTCTAGAATATAATAGCAATTACCATGGCTATCACTTAGCCACCTCCTTTACTACACAGATCAAAGCAAGAATAAGAACCTCACTTCATATGCCTACTGGCTCAAACCCCTCTTTCCAGCCTGTTGGTTTTCATTGTGCTCACCATCCCTGCGGTGTTTGACCAGCCACGCTCGTGCTCTTGATGGACACTATCAACAAGATTCAGATGCATCTGGCTCTGATTCAGTTTTGATGGACTTCCATCACATACTCAGTTCCCTTTCCGTTATAGCATCAAATCTGATTTCAGGGACTCAGAGCATCAGAAGCAGTTTTATTCTATGAAATACCATTCTTCTTCAGATTTTTCTTTGTTCTCTGTCTTGCATTTTCTTTTTGCTTTATTCAGCTAACACCTCAGCTTATAAAATCTTAGATCTTCCAGTTTCAGATTTTTCTAACTTGAGTAAAGATGAAATGTAGATAATTAAATGAATACTGCCATTAAAATCTCTATCAGTCATATGTATCAGCAGGGAATGACTTCATTCAACCTCCTGTAAATTACAAGTACCACTAGCTGTGATTCACAGACTAGCAGCTGAGGGTACCTGACTGAAGCACTTGAGTGGTGTGATTTTTGTAGAAAAGGCTTTAAGTGTCCATCAGCATACACTGTGTTAGTAATTCTATTGTTTATTCTGCAGAAAAGCAGAACAGGTCCACGTCCCATGTGTTTTTCATAGAACTTGCACGACTGCTGCAGTTCAAGAATTGACCCTCTCCCCACCCCTGAACACATGCGTAATTCCTCCACATGCACACACACATTAATTCTTCTGCCAAGAATTTAAATCAAAATCAAATATGGTTACAGTTTGAGCTAGTTTGTAGGAGTCTTCTCAGAAACTGTCTATTTTGGTTGCTTACAAAGTTCCATTTTGTATAACTACTCCTAATTAAATTGTGTGTTAATATATTCTAAAGATAATGCAAAACTCACAGATATTCAGCTACTTTGACTGGAGATGTGCAAATCAACAAACTATTTAATCTGTTTTTTGACATATCTAATTAAATGTTCATCCCTGTAACACAGAGACCACTACTCCCATATAAACGTTCCAAGAGCACTTTAATAAGCTAATAAATGTATTTCTGAATGATCTTCTGGCATTAAAATACAAGATTGGTGCCAAGTAGAACAAAAACCACACAGGGGAATCCTGTACAAATTTGGCAGGTTTTTGGACAAAACCAACACGGCCATGTTCTGATTTTGGGGGGCAAGACTCATGCTTCAGAAAAATCAAATGATTACATGCAGGTAGTTAAAAATAAAGTTCTCTCCACATAAGGTCTTTTGCTTGGTTGGTTGCTTGCTTTGTTGTTTTTGGTTTGTTTGTTTTGGTAGCCAATTAGTTCAGCTATGCAGGAGTCTCTCTAAAAAATTGCTGAAGAGCTACTAAATTAGATTAGGCCACTGGTTCTAGTAAGTGCTGAGCTCCCCAGTATTTGTTGGGTGTTGCCAAAAAGTTCTACTCATTTTTACTATTTCAAAATAGCTGGACCCCTAGTTGCTAAACAGTTCAGAACAGTTCTACTTCACTTCTACCAGTCTTTACTCCTGAAGATGACATCTTCAGAGGTCTAAAAAGATCACTGAAACAGGCCATTAAGTAACAATCACTAAAATCTTAAAATGTGCCATACCTGCAATAAAGCAAAGTTCAACCCTCATCATCCTGTGCTATAAGGAAAGTCTGCTCTCCCTGATATATTCCTTTTGCTAACTATGTATTTTCCAGAAAACAAACTTGAATAGAGATATGTATAAACCTCCTGAACTGACACTCTTGCTCTGATACCATAGCAAAGAGAAGAGCCATGTGTTAGTTATCCATGGCTTAAGAACAGCTCGGGTGCAAGTCCCCTGCAGACAATACATTATGTGACCAGCAGCCAGATGAGGGCAAGCATGAGCCAGAAGGTAATGCACAGACCCAAATTTTATATTGCTCAGCTACACAGCTACAGCCAAAGCCCTACCCTAATATGGGCCTGTGAATCCCTGAGGAGCTGGAGTCCTCTCCCAGCTCCCCTTAGCCATCTGATGAATTTGTCATGCAGCTCACAGGGACAAGAAACCTTGCTCCTGGGGGTGAGAATACACAGGGACATCAGAGTGAGGCAACTTACCTCCATGAGGAAGACAGAAATTCTTTGCTCAAAATACTCTGGATCCTTATGCAAGGGTATACTGAAAAAAAATTAGCTCGGGTCTTTCTAGAAATAGCCCCCTACCTCAAGTTCTCCACTTCAGTTCTTTACATGAAGGCACATAAACAATCACCATGAGTAGTTTATTCCTATTAAAAGGTGAAGATTTGATTCCTAAAAGATTCTAGCTAATGATTTTGCATCTATATTTATGAACATACAATTATGACACCAGAATCCATTAAAATCCATCTACATCCAAGGTCTGGTCTTTAGGCTTGCTGATAGTTCTCTGCCTCTCCCTTTCATAACATACCTTTTGGGAAGTGAGAGGTATGCTTAATGATCAGAATATTCAAAAAAAGTTAAATAGTACTACAATCAGACATTCTCAACATTTAAAAGTATCAATTGATGCTGTTGTTCGTTTGTGCTGTTTTGTTGTTGTTTTTGTTTTGTTTTTACCTTCTCCTACTTTAATATAGATGTTTCTTGATATTTTGAGTTCGGTGAAAGATGTAACTGCTCCATATTCCTTCTGGGCCCACTGTAGCAGATATTCATTTTTCTCAGGAAAAAGCTTTTCTTCTGTTTCTGCTGACAAAGAGAAATTTCCCTTCTCAAACTGAACAACAGAACCTAAAGACACCTGATGGGAATAAAAACATATTTTTAATATGGTATATTTATCTGCACAGACAGGTAGCCTGTTAAAGTATTGTAATCTGGCACACCCACATGTATTTACTGCAATTACAGCTTGCTTCCAACAACGCCTAAACTTCATATGTTTCAACATCTGCATAATTATTCGTTTTCAGATTTTTTTTTTCTTAAGTGGCTGTTTTAAACAGCAGTATTCCCAACCTATCGGCCTGCCTGGGTTGCACAAGGCAGATGAATAAACGGGGGCTCTGAACTACTCAGATGTTGTGCTACTGACAAAAGTGGTGCAACAATGCTGCAAGAGGGAGGGCTGGAAGACAACAGGGAAAACAGGAGGGAGTAAGATCAACATGGTCCAAGAAACTGAAGGGAGAGATGTGAAGCTCAATAAACCTAGGAACTACTGAAGTAAGTCACTCCCATATCAGAAAGAATGAGTTCAAGCTCAGTAAAAAGACCAATGGAGAGAGAGAAAGAAAAGAGAAAGGCCATGAAAAGGAAATATTTACTGTTTTACTTACAGTAAGAGAAAAATACATGTTGAGCTAGCACAAAGCAAATGACTTGCATCTTTAGAAAAATCATTATAAATAGATTATATTAACTTAGGTCTTGACCAGAAGTACCAAAATATTGCTTTTAATATATTAGGTCTTGCACCAGAGTACAAGTGAAAAAGAAACCTGGAGCAAGAGAATATACTCAGTGTAATACATGCTGCTGCAGTATCAGGTGTTTTTACTGGATCCCAGACTACCTTTCTACTAAACCAGATTTCTTTGATGGAAAAGCATATTTTTTCCTTTAACTTAAAATCCAAAACTACAAATGGTAATGATTGAAAGAGTGAAAAATACATCATAACAATTTCCAACCCATTCTGAGAACTATTTACAAGCTATAACAGCATAATGGTAATAAGTATCTCTCTAACCTTGTAAAAAACCACAATATATCAACAACATTTATTCAAACAGATTATCTGGAGTCAGGTTCCAATTAGATAAAATTAACTAACATCAATCAAGCATTATCTTCCCCGGAGCTATTGTTTACTTCATAGCACCATTTCATGATGTCCTCTATCAGTTTGTTTAGTACATACAAATACGTGTCAAAGTAGACATATAAATTATGCCCTTTGGCACATGGAATTTCAGAAGTTCTTCTCCATGCCTCCAGCTATTATATTAGCATTTATTATGCACCTATCACATACTCTCTCCTCTAAGAGAAGACCCGTGTAATTCACAGAGTTCAATTTGATCAAGCCTGTCATAAAAAAAAAAAAAAAACAAAACAGCTCAGGAATCATTTATGCTTTTGCCAGAATAGTTTTCAAAGTTTAAACTAACATCTTGTCCAATTCTGAATGATCTTCCTTAATTGTTTTTCATATGACTACCAGAAAATATTTCTTTTAAATTAAAAAAAAAGTCTTTATTCAGTGTAACACAGAATAAACCACATTACTATACTTCCCAAATAAGAAATAAAACTCTGCTATAAAAGAAAATCTAGATTTTTTTTGGAAACTTTCCTACAATATCAGGAAAATATAGAAACACATTTATCTTTAAAAAGTAGTATTTAGCAAATAGTGTTCACTTTGTAATTCCACTACTTAGAAGCAGATACACCATCAATTGATTTTGTGGGGCATCTCTACAATGCTCCTAACATCAGATTTTATAGTGTGCACAGCTTTATAGGATGAAGAATACTCTAACAGCACAAGACAGGTCATGCAGAGAGTGCTTACACAGCACCTCTTAGCTATGCCATCTTTTGTATCCAAGACAAATGGAACATCTTTGTAGACCCCTAGCCTATCAGGAAAAAAAATACTGTGCATAAAGATTGGAAGGATTAAAGGGTCTTAATCAGTTATTATTTTGCAGGGATACTGAATAAATGCTGGCAATCCACTCTCCAGAACCAAAACTCCTTAACTACCTCAAAATAGTACAGTGCATCTAAGAACTAAAGCAATTGCTTATCATTTACACTATTTCATAATGTCTCTAGTATTTTTTATAATCAGTATTAGAGAAAAGAATTATCAGCATAACCTTTTAAGACGCTTGAGAAAAACTGAGAGAAAATATTAATACTTCTAAATGTTAATTAAAGAATTGAATTTGCTTGCAATAACACATTTTCACTGCAATTTCTATTTGGTACTTAAATGCCTGTTAACAACAGGTTTATTCCTCAGAAAACACTTGGTTTTTCATTTATTATTAATTAAAACTTGAAATCATTTTGCATCCTTCTGTTGCATGACAAATGTCTTCCTGTAGGACACAAACCTTATCATCATTCATTTTTTAATCACATACTGAAGTCTATTAAAAATGGTGGTTCCACTACCATGTTTTTAAAAGGAGTGCAGAGTACTGCTGTTCCTGCCAATGTTAGGATTTTTACTACATGGACCTAAGGCAAGGTTAAGTGAGCCAAGCACGTTATTTTTTCTGGAAAGACTTCAACAGGCTCTTCCAAAAAAGGCAACTGTCACTGTTTCAACACCTGCCTTGAACATTAACTACTTACTCTTCAGAACAAACCAAAAGCTGCTCTCTTTGAAGTACTTAGGACATGTCAGTCTGAGGATTCAAACCAAAGAATGTTTTATATATTTAGGAATATGTCAACAAATTTTATATGAACACTCACTACACAGCCTACCGGGTAATTAAGAAACTGCTGCCACAGGCACTCTGTCTCCTTACTTCATCTTCTTCGGTGGTTACTTTCAGAGGTTGCAGAGTGGAAAATTTGCTCCAGCTCTATTTCTTCCTGTTGTTGCGAGGACATTAAAGATGACTGCACCAGAAACATCCCCTGCTGCTGAGGTCATCTACGTGCCTTGCCACATTTCTGAAGCTAAATGAGGAACTTCCAGGCTTGATGGGGAAAATCAGTTTGCAGGCCCAAAAGATACCAACCACAGGTAGCAACCACAGTGAGGAATGCAGTTCAAAAGGCCCTGCAGCCAGGGGGACCAAGGGTCAAGTGCAGATTCATGCAAATCTGTAACCAAAATCTGAGAGTTCCACCAACAAAACATGGTTAGGAACATACTGTGATTACATACTCTACTACCCACTGCTGACCAGTGGAGGAAACAGGGTTCCAATTTTCTTTGCACAGTACAGAAACAAGGAAACTTATATCCCCATCCTGAGGGAAAACAAACAAAAAGCCTTTATACATCTCTTAAGAAAACTTTCTGGTCTCAGAAAAATTGCTCTTGCAATTCTGCCATGGTACTTCAGAACATCAGCTACCTGATATAAGTGCTAAATTGTGCAAGTTTCTGTTCCTCAGAAGGATCATGTCTCAGAAGCAACCTTAAGTCACCTCAAATATATACACTGGTGAGCATGAGCACTGCACACACTCAAAATAGTGTCTTCTGTTTCTTATTTCACCTATTTCCTTCTCTCTTTTTAAAGCTTTACTGCTTTTTTTTTTTTTTCATTGAACCAGATCCATTGGGGATGTTTATTTTGTTTGCTTTATGACATTTTAAGCATTTAATGTAGCTGTAATTCAGAACACCCAAGTAGGAAGCAAGCTCGTAACTTAGCCTTAATAGACAGGTAGGCACCTTTGGGAGATGACTCAGAATACAAAATTTAGTGTCTGCAGCATGAATCAATCCCTCCCCTCACAGCAACAGCCCCTCCAGCCCAAGTGACAAAGTCATCATAATGTAGAGAATGAGAGAAACAAATCAGAAGGAAAGCAGCACCCTTCATATTTTTATATAGTGTCAGACCTGTGACAGAACAAGTAGGAAAGGAGTAAATCTGCTCAGAATAGAATTTAAAAACTTGAACCAACTTTCAGAGCAGCCCACATAGAGTTGAGACTCAGTCAGTGGTTTTTGATAACATATTTTGATGGGCTTCAGTCCCCTTACAGAAAAAAAGTGAAGCCATGAACGGAGAAATACCAGGTACTCTTGAAACTCAAAAATACTTCCTTTATTGTTCAAAAATTCACATGCAGCATAATCACCAAGAGAACAATTCTCTTTGGTAACTGGCTAAGAGACACGCTGCTTTTAAAATAAGATGCGTCAAACATGCTGCATGTTCGTGAATCATCTATCAGCTTTCATATTCCCTACCAGCCACAGAAGTAAGATGCTTTCAGGCAGTAGTGTATTTTTTCATTTTCAGTTTAGTGTTCATGTTTCATTTTCAGTTTAGTGTTCTCAAGACCACTTACAGTCATCACAAAATTCCGCTTTGATTTTGCAAATTTTTTAAAACATATGTGTGAAAGAATCAGCAGTATCTTATCTACGTATTTTAATTCTGCTTCCTAGGAGATGCTGACTTCACCAACTACCACAGATCTTGATAGGAATTAAGGCTGCTCAACTCTTTCTCGGGATGAACACAGAACCTTGTGGGATCACTCATGCACATTTATATGCATCTAGAAAGAAAATCCTGTGATTTTCCATCAAAGTTGAAACCATGTCAAAGCAAGTACAACTTTCAAAACCCGCATGGGAACAGTTACTAGAATGATAAAAAAGGAAAAAAAAAATCACATGTAGGGGAAATCTATCTGCAAAATTTAGGGCTCCGTGGGAGTTTATTAATCATACACAGGTAATTGTTCACTCACCTGACATTAATCTAACATCATCTTAATAGATGCAATTCACTGAGTTGGTCTGAACAAAATAAGGTATCAGAAGCTTTTTCAAGAATTCTGTTTCAAGTTAGACTCAATTTAGTGGAAGGAGAGAAGGGGAGAATTAAAGCGTATCTATGCAACTGCAGCTGAAGTTTCCACTGGAATCAATGACTCAGTAACACAACCTGTTGTGATTTATCTCCTCCACGTCACTAACACCAGCAGTCTGCCAAAATCTGCTGCTTGCTTCTGTAAACTTTCACTAGCTAAAGCCCCCGTTTACTGAAGCAAGTGAAGACAGGATGGTGCCATGACAGTACA